CCCCCCCACCACACACACACACACAACCTTGTCTACAAAGAGTTTATCTCAACTTATGGTTTCAAACTAATTCCTAGGTAGAAATAAGTCCAGTAATGTAGATAAATTTGTAGTTGTGGGTCAAACACATTTTGTCCAGAAATAGCAATGTATCCGCTTTACTTCTGTAGTTACTTTAGACCTAATTTTTCATATTTGTTTAAAGCTTCTTAATTTTCATGCTACATCTACAAATTAAAAGTACCTTTTTTCCTGTACACAATATTTGACGTAGTGTCTAACTTTAAGTAATGTTCTGTGTTACTCAGAAGGCATTTGTGCTCATTATAGTAGGGAGTACCGGTACTAGTAAATTATATGCACCAAGTGTATGTATTATGTTGTAATGTGTTTGTTCCCCTGTACAGTGACCATGAGGGAGGCAACGTCAGCGCCCACACCTGTCACTTGGTAGGCAGCGCGCTGTCTGACCCCTACCTGTCCTTCGCAGCTGCCATGAACGGGCTGGCAGGGCCCCTTCACGGACTGGCAAACCAGGTAAACAAACAGATGTTTATACACATGTATTCTATATATATAGGACAATGCATAAAATGAATGGCTACATGCTAGAAATTCCACCATTGATTGTACAAGCACATTCCCACCCTGTACCACTATATTATTGTCTTTGTAAGGTCTCCATGTATGTTTGTTATATAGCAGTAGACCTTGTGCAACTGTTGTGCAATATAGTTTATCTATGTTACAGCTACAATCCACTTTTGATACCAATGACAAATGATTTTAGCTCATGCTGATGACCAACAAGACTTGGTGACCAGTACACTTGAAAATTGGTTGCTGTTTGACAGGTTCTGTTCACATTTTAAACATTCGTCCTGCCACAGCAAGTTGAGTGTGTTTATTAGCCTGACTACATTACGACGTTTTTAGCAGCCCTTCTACTGGTCTTGGGGAGGGGCCCATGACTAGGAGTAGTTGTGTAACCCAGGTTATGTTTGTTGTCGCTGTAGGAAGTGTTGGTGTGGCTGACTAAGCTGCAGCAGGACCTGGGAGGTGAGGTGTCTGATGAACAGCTGAGGGATTTCATCTGGAACACACTGAAGGGAGGACAGGTCAGTACAGAGACTTACTCCATACACTGAGTCACAGCAGCTGTATCTAAACTGAAATGAAATTCACAACACTTGAACTTGTTCCATGAGAAATGCACGAAGGAAGTAACTTTTAAAAATTCAGCCAGAAATCCACAACTTTGAGTCAGAACTTATGCCAAGAGACATGCAAGAAGGAAATGAGTAACTCTTACATTTGTTCAGCCAGAATCTGGCTGTACCAAAATGTGACTGACAATTGACACATATTACTTGTCTAAAGGGGAAAGCACCAATAAAAGAAAATCAGAACATTACTTACTTTGTAAATACATGTAGTACCCATTCCTGAACATCTGGATGGGGCCAAGCTGTTATGCTGCAATTTGCCAACAAGTTGCTGCTATTGTTTTGATGCATAACAGAATGCCATGATTCGAGGTTTGATGTGTCTTTCTTCCGTCAGGTTGTTCCTGGTTACGGGCACGCCGTGCTGCGTAAGACGGACCCTCGGTACACGTGCCAGCGAGAGTTTGCCCTGAAGCACCTGCCTGATGACCCCATGTTCAAACTGGTGTCTCAGCTGTACAAGGTGAGATCATGACTGATATCATAGCACTGCTTGGTTTTTTCCAAAGCAGTGTTCTAACCAGACAGAATGTTGCCGCTCGTGGCGGACAAATATTTTGCCCAATCTGATTGGCAAAAATGGGTGCGGAAAGAGATGTCATTAAACTAAGCTTAGTGCACCAGCAAAATTTGTCCCTCAAATTGCAGGAAAGAGCTTTTCAAAGGGTCAAGATTTCAACATTTTCCAGGGGGAGCATACCCTTGAACCTCCCTAGGACATGGTTCAATATCAAACAAAATTGACATGATGGCAAAAAATTCAGACTGACTGGCTGTTCCAAGGAAGAAAATACCGTAGTAGTGTCAGGGCTACACTGGTCCACAAAGATAATGGTTACTACAAGCTCCCCAGTATTTGTGACCCTTGTAGTGACATGTTTATTTTTTTGTGAACACAGATTGTGCCTGGAGTGTTGCTGGAGCAGGGCAAGGCCAAGAACCCCTGGCCCAACGTGGACGCTCACAGTGGTGTGCTGTTGCAGGTAAGAACTATGTCTGTACCCACATTGGGCAGCAAATATTTTTCTTCATTGCAAGAAGCAAAGGAAAAGCTTATGCCATATAGATCTACTGATACTGCAGCATGTAGCCAGACTAAATCGTGCTCCTGGCCGCTGACCCGTCCAAAGGTTAACGTCTCCCCATCCCCTGGCAGCTAGAGCTTGTGTACACACAGGCTACTGTAGCATGCACCAGTAATACTGATAGGGTGTAATGCCACCTGGCTAGTACTGATGGAACTGCAGATTAGACCCACTAAGACAGAAAGGGCCTATAGTATAGAGAGTATGTACAGCCTAGCACTTGCCTGCACTCAAAGCGGCAAAACTTTTTGTAAATACAGTAGGGAGCCAAATATATAATGTCTAGGAAGCGCAACTCAACAAGGGCCCAAACCTTGTTCAGCACAAGAAGCTTGTCACATTTTCATTTATTTCACCAAGCATTCCTGCTGATGTTTTCCTTGTTGTTTCTCCAGTATTATGGCTGTAAAGAGATGCAATACTACACCGTGCTGTTCGGAGTGTCTCGCGCCCTGGGCTGCCTCGCCTCGTACATCTGGAGCCGCGCCCTGGGCCTTCCGCTGGAGCGACCCAAGTCCATGTCCACCGAGGGACTGAAAAAGCTGGTCGGAGCACAATAACCCGCTTCACCACAGCCGTAGGAAGAGCTTTAGAACACATCGTCTTTGAAGAAGTCCACTATTTCTTCTTTCACACCCCCAAAGAGCTAGAAGCTCTTCACCTTTTGTGATACAATTTTAATAAGCTGGTTTGAAAATGCCATGGCTTTTTGTTCCTTCATTACCTTGGTCCGGCATTTCCATTGCATCCCATACTGCCTTGCTGCATTTACCTCAGTCCATGCTATCCCACATGTATCTATTGAAAATATGTGCTTCCTCCATCATACTTTTGTGACAGAAAGATACATTGTATTGTGTGCAAAAGACATGAAAAAAATGTATTTCAAAATGCTTGTTCAGAAATTATATTATACACACTTGACGTGCAGTGAGAAAATTAGAATTCTTGGCAGACTGGTCTTTGGAGGTGTTGAAAGAAGCTTGGAACTTCCTAGCATTAAGAATGGATCCTATAGCTAATAGAAAATGGCTGATTTTTCGTGTACGTGACTCTTTGATATGTGAGCTGGGATATTTTATCTTGTGCCTGTGAACATGGCTGACTACAGGGTGTTTTGAAATATTGTGTTGACATGCTATTTCCTCCCTGAAACTTTCAAAACACATCTTTACTGTACATATTGTGAAAAGAAGTCTAAAAGTGAGCATCTGTATTTTATCATTTAGACATTGCAGGAAGACAAGCCACGGTGGAAAAGCTGTCAAACCAAACCACCCTGGAAGACAGCCTTACATATACAATACTTAACATTAAACAAATGCAACAAACTCAAAATAGCCATCTCAACAGATTCGAGTCCAGGCGATGCTACGGAAAGTTCATTTGTGTGAAAGAGAAGATTATGTCAAAGCAACTGACAGTATTTTTACTGCTGTTCACCGAACAATGAAGCTCAGTATTGCTGTGAATAACCGAACGTGACAAATATTTGTGGCCAGAAATATTTATAGCAAATCACACTCATGTCTCAAGATTTGCACTCTGTTTAACACAGATAAGACAATTGAGAACAAAACTGTTTTCAGGATCAACCCCACCTCATTTTACTTTACTTGATGTCTACCCCATGTTAAAGTCCATCTATTTTGATCTTAGCCTTCTTAATTTTGGTAGTGTTTCAGTAGTAAAAGCAGTGCAGTGGGAATTGTGTGTGGAATGTGATAGTAACAATGTTTCTTTATCCTCATCAAAAAGTTTTGTACTCTGGGAACAAGACCATAGAATGAATTTTAATCATGCCTTGACTCTTGTTCCCAGATTACTACAACTGGGATTTCTGTCAGTCTTCTAATAAGAAATGTTTTGGGAGTCGAGATGAAATAAAGAGCTATATTTTGTTCTTTGAAATCGGAAAGTCTCCCATCTTTGTACAGATGTTAACTACAACGTGGTCTTTCACATGTAAGCTGTCTGAATATTGTGGGAATAATAAACAGGCCTAGTGTCACATCTTTTCTCGTGCATTTTGTAATAAGCTACCAACCATCACCACTACTCAAGAACACAGTTACCAGTACTCAAGCAACTTTTGTCTGACATTTCAAGTAGCATCCACTTTTCATTGGTCTCATGTACATGTAGTGGATGCTGTTTGAAATGTCTCTGTTTTCAAAATCGTAGCTTGTGTAACTGTTCTTGTGTATCTCATTACATGTACCTACGTCAACATATCACCACCCCTACAGTTTAATAATCTCCCAGCTGATGTCCTAATATCTGCTTTGAGACTACATAACATCAACAACTACTGTAACAACACATCCTCGCCTACCAAGGCCATGAGTAGTCCTACATAAACACTTTGAACTACCAAAAAAACAACAACTTGACCATGACATGCTGTATTTTACACTTTATTATCCCATTGTATCATAATGCATCAACCCTGGAATGTCTACGTGAACATTAGTGAATTAATTATGAATAAAGGATCCTGTGCTAAACTAAAAGTCATCATCCACAAGTGCAACACAATATACAACTTTTCTTCACTCAACCTAAATACAACTATGAAAAAGCCACCTTATGTATCCGGCCTTTTGATATGGGCAAATTCCACTAGGCCATGCACATCACCGTAATAGTACATGTAAGTTGGTCATTATGTACAAGCATGATTTCATGAAGTTTTTACACACTAAGAATGGAGTTTCCACATGGCAGTGCAATCAGGTTTTGAGTGTTGCTTTCAGTCATGAAAAAGCTGAAGGCACAAGCATATGTATTTGCATGTAGATATATTGCAATGATTTTTCTGCATTGCAATGTTGTTGACCATTTGAAAGATCAATGACAGTACAATCTGAGCAAAGCTTTAAAATCACCAAAAATACTACAGTTTATGCTAATCAACAAATGTGATAAAACTGAGATTATAGCGGTACACTTCCCTTGATTTTTTTTTCAATCTTGGAATAAACAAGAATAGTTCTTTTAACATAAGGAACAGAACCAGGCATCTTACTCAACAGAATCACTGATTTTACAAGATTTTAGATGTCTGAAAGGTGACATTTTCTCACAGTAAGGGATGGGTTGTCTGGGGGAATTCCGAAAGAAGTCCCCCAGACTTAGCAGGTCATTTGAAAGTTAAGTTTTTTTCACACAATCAACAATTTGTTAGCCTGAATACATTATGCTTCTAGCCGTCCATCTGCTGGCCAGATCCCCTGGAAGGAAGCCCAATCAGCCCCGGACAGCAGGATATTGTGTAATACAGGCAAACAACTTCCCACCAGCCAACAAGCTGGCAACTTGTCAACTGCCTTGCAACAAACATTATGCTTTATTAACCTTCTCCCTGCTGCCTAACCCTGTAGCCAATAAAGAACAAACACCAATCACCAAATATATGGCTAAACGGCTACTTCAGTGTGCCAAAGGTTAAAGGAAGCTGACAAATTGCTGAAACAATGCCAAGTAGGAGATTGTTGGTTGTGCCAAAAGGGCTTCACTTTCAGATGACGACTTCTTTTGAGTGAGAGCCTGCCTTCTGTTTCCAAGCTGTAAAGCGGTTGGTAGTTATTGCACAGTTGCACTCCAGTAACCATACAGACATACAACATGTGTACGTAAAAGGAACAAGACAATTGGAGACATTTTTCTACCAGTAACATGAGTTACACTTAAAACACTGAGGAATCTTTGTGTTACCATCTCAACTGACTTTTACAGTATGCAATATGAACAAGCTTCATTATCAATAGTTATTTATAGAAGTACCTGGTTATGTTCTTACAGCAAACTATATGTAGTTCTAATCTCATCTAGGCCTTGTTTCCATGATTTACATTTCAATACCTTGCCGTTACATTCCTACTGCAATGTATACGTACAGTCTCTAGTTTGGTATCCTAGCAACTATGAAAAGCAGGCACTTTGATGAAACAGTAGTTTAAGAAGAGTTATAAATACAATCAAATTTTCCTAAACATCCTTGCAACAAACTACATAATCAAGTCTACTCACCTTAAATTCTGGATTATTCAATAAATATTCCTGTATCCTAAACTATAATAAAACCAAGTATCTTCATACCAGGCCTTGCCAAAAGTTCACGAGAAGTTGATATCATTCCAAACTTATATATTTGCTACATATCCCTGAAGGACAAACAAATATGTGACACCTTGACATAACATATTAACAAAACAAAAAGGTACACAATATAGTACATCATGATACAAGTTTGCTAGTTGGCCCATTCTTATATCAAGTTATTGTCAGGATCCTGTCTCCAATCATGAATAGATTTAAGTACATTGACTAAGCAAATTGCATATTTTGTTAAGAGTACTCTAACTTGAATATGATGTTACAAAATCCAGATGGGGGACTTTTCTTCCACTTTTCAGGGGAGATAAAACCCAACACAATATGCAGTGTTGTTGTTTTTTCAATGGCTTTCAAATAAAGTATGTGAGTCCTTATACATGTATTTACAAGATCAATCCATCAATTCAGTAAGAACAATCTAATGCTGGGTTCAGCTCAACTGTTGTTTTGAATTTCATACATGTATGTACAGCTGCAATCATTTTTGTGAAAAAATATCACCAGCTTGCTTTTGACATGGTGTATACTTTATTACCACACATATATGATATAGGTGGTGACTTATCAATATTTTGCATGTCTCATATATCCCACAATTGCATTCCAATAGTACTGCATATTCACAACCTGTTTTCTTGTAGTGACATTATAAAATTGATTCATGCTTCTTGCTTTGGTAAGTACAAAACTGTACACTCATTGATGGGAACAGCACATCAACTAGACACACCATACATACGTTTTAGGAGGGAATGTGGCAAGACAAAAACATCAGAGAACAACAATGAGGTATCAACATGGATAAGATCCATAGGGGGATCGTCTTCCAAACAAAAGACAGAATGGATAACAAAGTTTTTTGTACACAACCAATTGGTTATACATAGCCAAAATTTTGGTGACCATCTGTCACCTTCCTCTGGGCAACACTGACTGCATCCACTTCACACTGTAGATATGTGGTGCTGCTATAGTGTTAAGAATGTGCTCCCAAACATGACTGAGTTATAAGTTTACATCCTCATCATGGTGCATGGCTGGAGTTGAATTTCTGACCCATACGCTTCCGAACCAACATGATGCGTTTGGGACCACATTCTTTTGCATTACAACTGTTCTCAGAAGCTAACCAACTCAACTTTGAAAGAAACTGCAGAATACACTTGTTTTGACTTCTCACAGTATACACGGTATCAAATATCACAGAAAGGGTTGCTTTGACCTCATTGTTGTTATATTTCTAAGATATCATTTGCAATTATAAATCTCTAGATTTAAAAGATGATTTTCAGTTCCATTTTCTAGGCTTTTTGCTACGTGTCATCCTCATAGTAGTCTTCATCATTTTTGTTCTCTTTCTCATCTTTCTCTTCCTCCTCGTCATATTCCTCTTTATCCCCACCATTATCATCTTCCCCATCTTCATAGTCTTTTTCATCTTTTTCCTCATCTTTTTCCTCATTGTCAGTGTCATCATAATCCTCCTCCTCCTTTTCATCCTCTTCTTCTTTGTCATCATTGTCTTCATCATCCTCATCATAATCTTCCTCCTCCTCCTCTTCTTCATTGTAATCATCCCCTTTCATCCCATCTCCATTTCCTTGCCCTTCCTTTTCATTCGCATCATTGTCAATATCTTCTTCTATGTCAGTATCTTCTTCATCCTGGCCTTCTTTCTCTCCCTCCATTTTATCTTCTTCCTCCTCTTCTTCGTAATCATCATCTAGGATGATTTCGTTCTTCTCATTTGCAAGTCTTTCTTTCTCCGTTAACTTATCACTGCCATTTGGCTTTTCTTTGTCACTTTGTTCTTTTGCTGGCTTGGTCTCTTTTTCCTTTTGCTTGTCTTCTGGTTTCTTCTCCTCTTTAAGATCCTCTTTTGTTTTCTTTGTATCTGCCTCCTTCTCTTTCTCCCCTTTCCCCTTTTCTGGTTGTTTTTCCTCTGCAGGGGACTTACCTACACCTCCCATGCCAGACAACTGTGGGTAGTTGTACCCATAAGGACGGAGGTGATAGGTCATGTATTCTAGGACGTACATAGTATTTGGGGTGATGTAGTGGAAAGTGATGGCAAAGTCGGAGCAGCAATCAGGGCCCTACAGGAAGGAAGAGACAGGACACCCACCACCACATTAGCAAACAAGGTCAAATAATTATTAGCAAAAAGGCAGCAAATAAGAGAGACGTGTTAGCTAGTGGGATGGTACGTGTTACAGGAATACAGCTTTGACTCCAAAACCACAAGTGAAGGGGATAGCCCGAGGACCCTAAAAAGGGGACGAAAATAAATGCAGACAACACCAATATCATATAAAAACGAGGCATGCAGTGATCTATACAAGAAAATGTGCACGGAAAGTTTGGTAAGTGCAAAATACTGAAGAAAACAAGGATGAGAAGGTCCAAAAGAAAAGCCCTCCCCACACGGTTGGGTCAGCACCCTAAAATAAGAGAAATGAAACAACATGAAAACAAGAAGAAAAAAAATGCACAACACACCATGAGTAAGTAAACCATGCATGCAAGTGACACAGAAGCTCTACTGTGGTGAACTAAATAGATCGTACAAAGTACCTCAGAATTTCAGATGAGGGGGTTGGCTTATTGGGGAGGAGGGGGTTTTGTTCTTGGTCTGTTGAGATCGATTGGGGGAGTGTAGTTGTATCCAAATGGCCTGAGATGATACGTCATATACTCCAGCACATACATACTAGCTGGGGACACATAGTGGAAAGAGATGGCATAGTCCGAACAGCAGTCTGGTCCCTGTAAATAGAACACAGTTCGTCGCCATTAAACGTCTGACCATCGGTCTGTCGGTCAGTTCTTGTGTTAGCTCGTTGCGACATTGATCGTCAAGCTCGTAAGAGGAGTCAAGTTAGTGTGAAAACAAAAGAAAGAGATGCTTGTTAAATGGCCAACTTTTATTTGTTGCAAAGCAGCAGTCGTTTTGCCTCCTACATGTCAATAGTGATGGAATGAAATGTTAGTGTATGAGATTGAAGTGAGCCGTTTGTCAGATGAACACACAACTGTGATCTGTTGGAATGTCTGTTGGTTAGTTGGGAGGTTAGTCTACATGGTTAATACACAAAAATACATGGTTAAACCAGTCAGCATCTTTCATCCCATTGTTAATCAGCAACTCACTCACAAGCATCACTTTTAGAAGTTTAGTAATAAATTACACATATAAAGATATATCACTGTAAAATCAAAATGCAGATAATGAGAAATAATAAAAATAAAACATCACAGTAAAATAAACAATCAAAATGGAGAGATCTAATGACAAATAATGAAAAATGAATAAAACATTTACATAGAAGATTTCTGTGACAATCTTTCATACTTTGTGGGTAGATGTCATCTATAGTGAGAGATTTATCATATCAACTACCCGGAAAATGTCATTTAAACACACTGAAACCATTTGGATTTCAAATTTACCCACTCAAAGCAAGGGAACAGCCTTAGAATAACGTTGGGGGCAAAGGTGAAATAAAAAAGAACCAATCTTAACTGTACTTTGAGCTACGTCAACAAAGCAATATGGCTCTGTTCCCACCCTTGACTCTGTTTCAAAGACAATGTACATCACTCGGATTGGTGCCATAACTTGTTTACAAGAGCCATGAGAAATGGTTTTCATTCTTACACTGGATGCTGCTGCTAATGTTCACTGTAATCTTGTGTAATACCATCTTATACTGTGCACTTTGATCTATGCTGTAGCCAAAATCAACCTATCACCTTGAATGGAATTTGGATTCTAAACAAACCCTCCTTGATAGACCGACTTGGCAAACAAGCTCTAAAAGGATAAAAGAAAAAGCTGTGTGTTTGCACATAACACAATAACATGTGAAACATATAGCTTTAATTTGTTAGTAAACACTGATACAAACAGCACGCAACAGCCCATACCACTCATCATTAAAATGTAATCATCATACACAATGCAACTATGACAGACCTTATTTCACACATTTAATCAATCTTTCAATCTGTTGCACCATCAAGTATTCCAAACATCAAAAGAAATTTTCAAACTGTCACATATACACGTACACCATTCTACCAACCATCATACCATATGCAATATCCTACCATACCAGACTGTACAAACACCCATACTGTACCCCACACATACTTACACTGCAATGTTAGAGTCATAATACAGTTTATATTTCAAGTGCCATACAGCTAGCCTGAAACGTCATCTGTAGTGGAGCTATAAAAATACCTTTAACCCTGAACTCTCAACAAAGATACTGCACCCAATTTGTATTGCCATACGTGCAAACTTATGGTCATGAAGATGAAATGTAGACAGAGTGTGTAATTTGAAATTTTCCAGTAGTAACACCCTCCCAACTCGTACTGATTCAAATCACACGTCAAGTCTACTGTTTCTATAGAATGTGCTTTCCTCCTAGACCAAATAACCTATTCAACCTGAGTTATTATATTAGCTCCCTAAAAGAAAGACTGGCTCTCGAAAGGCTAAAGTTTCTAACCATTCTGTACCCACCACAGCTTCATCACGCCATGTTGCTCAAATTAGTTTATGTTCAACCCCACATGGGGATATAACCTCCCATAGCAACAGAGATATCACTAACACTTCTAATACCAGGTGTATCAGTTGCCTACAGTGCCTCTGTTCCCAAGTCCCACTGTGCTTTGTTTGAAGGAGCTCCAAGATAAAACTGAACTAAATCCTAACCCCCCAAATCCTGGAACCGGTAAAAAGGCCCAGCTATAATCCAACTTACATCGTGGGCTGGGTAGAACTGATACTTCCAGTACCAGTTGCCTTTTGGTACCCTCCCTGGAATGAGGTGATGTTCGGGGACGAAGGGGTGGAATCTCTCGCGGCCGAGTTTATCTCGCGAATCCTCCGCACGCACCCCGACCTGTTCCATACATCGACCCATCTCTACGTCCTCCATAATGGACCGTGCTTTACAGTTCCCCTCCACAAATTTTTTCACTGCCTCTTTGCTGAGGACGTAGCCGGCCCCACCACTCATGTAACCCTGCTTAACGAACGGTTTGAACCGCCGCCCGAAATAGACAGGTTCTGTGGGGTCGTAGTCTTTCAACATATATCTCAAGTTTTCTACGACTACGAAAGTGTCGTCGTCTGCCTTCATGAACCAGTCAGCATCGTCAATGTGGTTTTTGTATATGTACTCGTACGCGGCTTTTGTTTTCGCCCAGAGTTTGTCGCGGCCCTCTCCCGTTCCTAGCCCGATGACTGGAAAGTTTGGCTCGGCATTCGAGCTCATGTAAAGGATTTTGTTGCAGCGTTTGGCCCACGTCGCCTTCACGTGTTTGGCCTTCTTGTCAAGGTTGTCGGGTTGCGTCATGACCCAGCAGAGCACGCGAACACTGTCATACAACTCCTGCGCCTCTTTGTCTTGGCCTGTGGAGGGTGTGCAGAAAAACATATTTATGTACAAAGCATACACATTTACAAGAAATCATTATCACTTCTTCTTTAATTTTAAGTATTACACCAAGCTGTTAGTAGAATTAAGCACTACAACCAGTACTTGTTATACTGTATTTTTTTCTCTAAACTAAGATAACACTTTCAGGGTGTTCTGTTCCCATTTATGTTTATCATACTCTACATACCTGGTAGTTATGGACACTAGAAAGAATTTAAATCAAGTCTGACATTAAGGCAGCCAAGCAAGTAGCCTATCCTCCAGCAGCAATTCCACGCTTTAATCAAGTGCATACACTCAAGACCAGGCTAGTGTCTACTGGTGCTACTAGAGGGGGCCAGACTAATGATGTGTTTACCAGGCTATAATTAGGAATAACCCTGAAGCAGACCCTTACTGTAAGTGGACCCATATGCTACATGTGTATATGTTGTCTAGGAATGGAACAGCTAGTTCCAAAATTAAAAGCAAGGCTGTTTGAAAAGCCCTTTTCACATTTTATATCCTTTTATATTATTATAATTTGTAGTAGTACTAGCACTTGAGAGTGTTAAGGATATCTTTTTCACAAATCATTTGAATTTGACGTACCCTGCAGCTTTAGCAAGTTACACAACAACAACAAAGAGGTATTGCAATGAGAACTGTGATACTAGTAGTATGCTTTGAGGTGTCTCTGTGCTTGTAGACACATCCTTGTACGTGTGCGTGAGCAAACTTGGGTGGTAGAATTATAACAGGATGTGGAAAAGGTTAAAGCACTAAAACTACCACTTATCAGATCTACAAAGCAAAGATCAAAGTCAGACTAATTTTAAAGGCCTTAAGGTTACGCATGAATACTGATATTTGTAGTAAAAGCTTTCATCTTCTTTGGCTTGGCAACCACTGATGTGTAGTTGCATGCAGCATCCCACAAAGGGAAATCCTGTATCAGAGGTATCTGTAGATAGGACATTTTTATGTTCAGCTACCAACCCATTTCCTCCTTGTATGAAGGCATTGTGATTTGGATTGTCAGCATCTTGGTTTTACATGTAAGTTCCCATACTTAAATTGATCACAATCTAATAGATAGACGTATGGGTTGGGCCTTCTACATGTTTGCCCTTCAATTTCCCATACTCAGTAGACCAAACAGAGGGTTCTGTTAAAATCCCTCTGTAAATATTTGTACAGCAATCAATTAAGAGTCATTATTCAAGTTCAAAAGCACGTACAAACAGGCACAGCAGAGCGGAGGCATCTAGCCATTCTAGTGCCATTGTGCCTGCTGGGATCCTTTTGTGTGAGCCATGCAGGTGTTTGACTATTTGCTCAAGAGGGTGTAGTGTTGGTTGGGTTTGGAGCAAACATAGCTAGTCTTTTGTTAAAGGTTACGACTCAGCTGACAACAATAGTGCCCCCTGCACTGGTCCAATGACACAGCCACTAGACTCTGTAGGACACAATTGTAGCATGCCAGCTTTCTGAATAATTTAACAGCTTGCACAGTGTCCCATACAGGTACTATTCTCTATAGCTAGGCACTGGCTTGTCATCTTCCTAAGTGCATGTGCAAAAATGAATTTGTCATTTTTCACAGAAAGGCACATCACAAGAACAAGAATATCATCAAGATAATGAACGAAGTACACACATATTTAAAAGGTCAAGAAACATCTAAAAACAACTTTTGGAAATATGACAAGTATGCCAGTTCTGAAAAATGACAGATTATTTCTTTGATCTTTGAATAAACGACTAGCTGTCACAAAAACGCAAGCCACAATATTGAGTTAGCTAAAAGTTTTTGAAAGCCTACCACAATTTGTACCATTCCAAGTCACCATACATGCATTTGTTCCCATGTTTATTATGACAAGTACATTGTTTATTATGACATTGCTTAATATGTTTTTGATCCATATCACTGTGTAGTGGCTGTAGTCTGGGTTTGTATTTATATCAACAGCATAACTCATTGATATTTGGTCAAGCGAGTGGCGGTTGTGGAAATGAAGAACAACGTTGTAAATGGTCAACAAGAAAATGAGCTGACGACGTAGCACGCTGTCATTTTTGTTTTTTGGGGGCCAAAAATCAAACAATGCGTCCAGCAAAACAGTTTCAGAACCTTTCCGGCCAATGACACTGCACATCATCATGTTTATTTTCGGTTTTGAAGCCAGAATCAAACAACATACACTACAAAACAAAAGAAGTTTAAGAACTTTTCCGGCCAATGACGTAGCACACCATCATGTTTATTTTCGGTTTTGAAGCCAAAACTGAACAATATAAACTACAGAACAAAAGATGTTTCAGAAACTTTCTAGCCTATGATGTAGCACAACATCATGTTTATTTTCGGTTTTGAAGCCAGAATCAAACAACATACACTAAAGAACAAAAGAAGTTAAAGAACTTTTCTGGCCAATGACGTAGCACACTATCATGTTTATTTTTTATTTTTGAAGCCAACATCAAACAATATAAACTACAGAACAAAAGAAGTTTAAGAACTTTTTTGGCCAATGACGTAGCACACTATCATGTTTATTTTTAGTTTTGAAGACAACATCAAACAATATAAACTACAGAACAAAAGATGTTTCAGAAACTTTCTAGCCTATGATGTAGTACGACATCATGTTTGTTCTCGGTTTTGAAGCCAACATCAAACAATATACACTATAGAACAAAAGATGTTTCAGAAACTTTCTAGCCTATGATGTAGCACAACATCATGTTTATTTTCAGGCTTTGAAGCCAAAATCAAACAATACTACAGAACAATAGGAGTTTCAGGAACTTTCTGGCCAATGACATAGCACACCATCTAATTTGTTTTCATTTCTGGAGGCGGAAATCAAACAATTCGTACGTACAACAGAAGAAAACATGTTGAAGAACCTTCACCTTTGTTGGGTTTGGGTTTTGTACGCATGAAAAAAAAATGCAAATTAGCTGATTCCCAAGGAATTTAAGAACTTTCTGTTGTTTTACTTCTAAGCCTAGATAAAAGTCATAAAATATAATTGACTATCATATTGTTGCATACTAGAGTACATAGCCTTGTTTTGTCAATTTTTCAGTGATTTTTGAAGGTAAAATTTTCAAAGCTTGTGAAACAACCTAGTTAAGAAAATAAGGAATCAAAAAACGTATTGAATGCAGAAAAGCCTATCTACAGATCTTTCTACTAGTAGATATGTGACCTTTTCCCAAGGTCCTAAAAATCATTCAAACAAAAATTTCTGATTGTAGATGGAAAATCATTTCAAATGGACACATTTTTGGGCCTAAGAATTTGGTACTGTATATTTTCTGCCACATTCAAAGGACTTTAATTGGTGCAGAAACCCCTTTGTAACTGTGTTTGCTCAGACCACCCATTCTAAGGTTATAGATAGCAGATGTTACTGGGGTAAATGTTTGTTTTAACAGAGCAGTGAGAAGTCTCCCTAAATCATCTACACTACATGGGGGAAACAGGTCAGCCATTACTGTCTGGGTCATCGGAAGGTCACCAGCTTCACAAAAGGGAAGTATTCTATATATGCAAATCTACCTGCTCTGAACAGGTGGCTTTCTCATTATGAACAGGTGGTTTTCTCACTACACTATAATACATTTGTACTACTGTGACCTTGTAAGTTCACATCATCATATGGTCAGTTAGCACTGCTCCCCATGAGCCACACTACCTTGCACCCTGGGCAGGACGCCCTGGTTAATGTTTTGTCCAGTTAAGTAGTCTGCGTAGAGGTATGAATTTGGAGGAGCTGAGCTTGGAAAAAATGCATATGCACATATACATTGTTATCCATCAAACTCACATTTACAAACATGAATCTATAGTCTTTTTTAATGAAGAAGATATAAAATTCAATGCCATAACTCTCCATGTTTCATTCGTCTACTCCAAATCATTTTTGGTTTTGTAGAAAAACAAACTTAGTAGTGGTTGTTTACTTGAACATACCTAACCTTTTCTGTCAGTCTTTTCTCTGGGAGACATCTTATGTTAACATGTTATCATTCCTAAGACTTGGCTTTTAGAACTGGGATCAAAACTGCAAGGAAGGACAACATTGCTATTTCAACACTATTTAGGTCCAATGCTCACCTCCAATTTAGGTCAACTGGGTGATCATGCCTACATATGTGGATCGTAGCTGTTTCTGGAGCTTAACTTAACTTGTATTTACATGCGAAATCTGTCTGTTTGCTATGCACATGGCCTAACTATTTCAGAGTTGAAGTCTTCTTACAAAATTACAAGTTACATCAGTCATCTATTCTTTGCATCATCTACAAATAGCCTCACACTGGATAGATCATAGAGTGTCAACCAACTTATAAAACGCACTGCATGGAATACAATAATTTAGTGAATAATCTTAGGATCCCTGTGAAGTTTCATGTACTGATGTTTATATCATTCTGGTATGTATGCCTGTATCAACTGTATGTATCATGTTAGAAGTTCCCCACAATCCAAGGATCAAATGCAAGATAAAATCTTATCTTAATTAGTTACACCTTAGCGTTACTGATAGCTCAATAATTAAAAACATGTTGTTGTCCTTGCTTCACGTCTATTTTCACTAGACGTGGTTGGGTTTCATTTGGTTCAGATTTATGGCTGTCTCACGACCTTGAGCTTGCGTGTTGCTGGAAGTGTTTCCAGTTATACGTGTCGAGCCCCTAGAGCCCATGGGCACTTCCAGGATGTCCTTGGGAAACATCTGTTTGTCTTATTAACACTATCGCTATATCGCCCATGTTCCGTGTGCGAAACGCCCCCTGCCACTATTCAAACCATCCAAATGCGACTTTTGCATCTTTACACTTTTACATGATCAAAACCAACCCGTGGTTCATACTTTTAGCGAATTCCCCGTGCAATAGTTGGCACTACAAGTGATCTACGCTCTTGATAAACATATTACGCACCTTTGTGGTGAGCATCGTCCAAGTCGGTCCACTCCAGCGCCTTGTGCGGGGAGTCTTCAACATTTACTTCCGGGTGATCGTATGGCTGTTTCATCACTTCTACCTCCTTACTCTGCAGAGACCTTCGATCGGGGGGACCAGGACCGTGCGATGGTGTCGATATATAGTTCACAAACACGTACGATATCCCAAAACCGAAGAAAATGCCCAAGGCGAAGGTGACAAGGGAATTTTTGGTCACCCCGCCCGCCATCTTGGAACACTTGATACAACCAAGGGCCCAGAGCTGCTTCCCAATTTACACGATGAGTGTTTCAACGATTGAGAAAAATTGGATACTGTGGACGATCAGCCACGTCTTCAATTAAGTATTTGCAAGTTTGCACATGCGTCCGTATTTCATCTGCATCACATGACGTTGTTCCAAAAGAATTTTGGCATCACTTCTTCATGTATTATGCAGTGATTAACCGACCTATGGGGTCTCAGATCCCTGGGAGTGACACAGAGTGGCACAGAAGCATCATGGGTGTTTTACAGGAAACCACTTGATGAATGGAACTCAAAAAGTTGCCATAAATAAAAACAAAAACAAAATTCTGGTAACAATCCGTGTAACATGTAGCATTTTTACCTTTAAATCTCCAGTTTTCTTAGATCCTGGATATTTCTGATGATCTCAGTAAATATGAATAATCGCTTGAACCCCACTGTTACAAAAGTACATTAGACTTTTCAAGTTGAAACAAGAACCGTGCATTTCATGAATATAAAACAAGACTAGAATGTTGCAATTTTGTCAGCATATCAACGAAGACACATTTTCACATGGGAAGCATAGGATAACATACATCACAATATAAATAGTCATCTTTATACAATCCATAGAGGCATATATAGGACATGTTATGTGTATGTACTTGGTGCATGTAGGGAAGACTGCAACACAGTGGTTATCAGCAGTTTTAATTGATTGTGTTTACTAAGACAATCCCAAATGTTGCAATACTGCAGAAACACTCTCCTTCACTAGGAAAGTTTGTGTTGCTGACTATGCATCATATTTATATTGATGCATATTCATAGAATACTTCCATAGATCAAGTATTGTACTGTATTATCTACTACTGTATAGTATGTGCTAGTGTAAGTGTGGGTTCCATGTGTGGGACTCTGACTCTGAGGGAAAGGTGACATTTGTGCTGTTTTTTCCAACTTCTTTGGTACTATGCATATGTATATCCATTCCTCCATCCATCCATCCATCCATCCATCCATCCATCCATCCATCCATCCATCCATCCATCCATCCATCCATCCATCCATCCATCCATCCATCCATCCATCCATTCATCCAATAAAAAAATCATTCCAAAACACTCACAGAACAAACACACTACAGAACAATTTACTGGCCATGAGTATCTTTTGAAAACATACATAACAAAAAATGACATTTTTTCCTGGAAATACAATTTTTCATATTTTTCCTATCTTCTTCTTTTTGATGTTCTCAACAGACATGAATCTTTGTCACGAGCATGGAGGGCAAGTTTGCTAGCATGGAATGGGCAATAAAAAATTTAAAAAAAGGAGCAAATCAGTCAAACAAGGCCCCAGACCACCCACCTGGTTGTGGCTGATGAGTTCCTGAGGTGTCTCCAAGTTGAAGCGCTGACGACCGCGGATGTCTCTGCTGTCCCCGATCTCCACCCCTGCATTATTCAGGCATTTTGCTAGGTGGTGATCCGGATTCTTCGCTCCCATCAGCTTGCTGTCGTCTGGGCACAGTTTGTCATCACCCAACACAAGGTGTAACAGTTGTAATGCCTTTTGACTTATGACAAACCCAGCGCCTCTGTCTGGATAGTTGTCAGCTGTGATATGTCCAAAGTAGATGGGAGTAGTACCGTTGTATGTCAGGAGAAAGTATCGCAAGTTTTCGATGATAACCCACGAAGTGTCCTCGATAACAAAGAACCAATCATACTTCTCCTCGTAGTCTGTGAAGACTTTCTCAAACATGATCTTGTGGCTCATCCAGTTCTTGCAGACTTCTGAGTCCTTCTGGTCTAAGACGAGTGTCGGGAGGTCCTGTTCGTTCTTGTTGTGGACGAACAGGAGTTTTCCGCAGTGTCTACCCCAGGTGGAGTTGATGTGCTCACGATTGGACCTGCCCTTCGGTGACGTGATGACGAGACAGAGAACCCGAGTACGTGCCAGCTTGTCTTCCATGGCCTCCTGTTTCATGTAGACTCTGGACACTTCTTCCTCAGCGACGTGGATGGTGCGATGTTTCATGTACCTGTCGTCGAAGACCCCGTTGTGCTGTATCTGTGTCATCATGAGGTGGATGAGGACACCCGCGCCGAGACCACCGACAACTGTCACCCAGCGCAGCATGCTTGGTGGGGCACCCATGTCTGTATGCAATTAAGCAAAATACAAGGTCATCAACAACTGGTAATTGTTAATGACAACCTCTATAAAACTATAGACTTGTAAGATATGGTCCATTGTTTCTCAGAGCTAAATGAAACACAAAAAGTTAGCATATCTACTGCTATCTGTAGTTTGGGACTTCTTACAGATATTGAAAAATGTTGTAAAATTGCGACAGGAACAAATTATGTGAAAGATTTTACTATAACGTGAAGGGGCGGATCCCACTAGTAGTGCCCAGTTGGAAGTCTAATATATTTTGAAAGTAGCGTGTTTTATGTCAACCTTAGCAATTGTCCAGTTAACGATAAACCAACGTCCTTGTGAGAAACATTGGGCTTAAAATTCTACTGCGCCACACAAATTATTTGGCTCTTCCGGATCCGATACAAAATTTTGTTGTTTACCACAAAATATGATGTGTTGTACTTCCAAGAGTCCATTAAACCACTGGCGTTCCTAGCACATTTGGTACTGGATCTTGTTGGCGAAACTTACCTGCGACTGCTTGTAAACTATTCCGTTTTCCAGATGACCCTCAAACTTTACAGTCGGTCTGAAAACTGCTCGTCTGTGAAAGTCGACGTTTCAGTAAAGACTTTTATTTGTCGCCATGTTGTTTCGTGGGACGGATTGTTCCATTTTGATCATAGGTAGAAATAAATTGAAAAATTGTGCTTATATTTCGGTATGTGCCATTCTAATCGGAAATATTAGGGTTAGCTTACTTTGATCTTAGTGTATTCATGTGTTCAAAATAACGTTTAGTGTATCTATTCAAGATGTAATGTACACATGAACGCCGTTTGCGTGCAATGCCCTCCAGTACAGTGTTATCGCCCAAGAATACTAGCACGTTACTAACGACACCTGGCGGATTACTATTGCAAAGCATGACACCTTTTTTTTCTATCCAAGGTTCCACAATTGCCCCTCAAAACAAAAACTGACAATTTTAAACACAGTTCAATACATTTAATACAAATAACTTCCAATCTAGGAAATTTTTGTACATATATGGTGTGGGTAAGTCTTTTTCTATCTACTAATCTAAGAAGATTTTATTTCTTATTGACAGCATCAACAGCAATAACAACAGTCAAAATTAAGTATATAAAAGATTGAAACACCAGCACTCCTTCAAGTCCTCTCCATCCATACATACCTAAAAGGTACAATTGTAAAGCTGTACAGTTAAAAACCCACTCCATCAAAACACACCATTGCTTTTAGCAAACTTGGTGGCAACTACATTTTGTACAAAGTAATGTTACATGTATAAATCAATGAGGTTTAAATCCTCCTTGGAATAAAGAAAAGTAATGATTTCACATGGGACAGATCATACAGAAAAATTGTCAGGCACTTGATTGAATTTTTGTGTCACTTTGCCCTTTTCTGTCGAACACTTAATACAGTAGTACTTTTTTTAAGAATCGTGATCAACATCTCTATGATCCATTCTGGCCTATCCCAAATAAGGCACTTTTTATTACATGTATCTCCAAGATTCTTGTTTCTTGTTCAATCTGTTTCACAGTGTTAAAAAGTGTAAATGGCTTCTGCCAGTATCACCAAGGACATCATATAATGCCCATAGTATTACATATCCTGCAAGTAGTCTTACAGGAATTATCAAAATAATCTCCACTTCTTCTACAATTCTATGACAATTTCATGTACAACGCTATACTCCTGTAAAGTTGTAAAGGGACATTTGCTATTTTTACAATGAAATTCTATCTTGAAAACATCACGTGTATATTTGTAATATTTCATAGCAACAGCAACACTTAATACATGACTGTAATACTACATTTGTACATACGATAAGTACGTATTTCCCTTACATCCATAAAACCAAACCTGAAAGCACCATGCAAGTTACAGTATCCCATCACAGTTTCTTACATGTCCATGTACAAATTATCATGAAAATTCATCTGTGTTGGTAGTAATCAAAGTACAATGTTAAACTTTATTACAACACAAAGAGTACACAGGGATCAAATTTTCAACATCACTGTCACCTTCATCAGGATAATTAATGACCAATCACTTCCGAACGTAAACTCACAAGAGTTACGGTTACAGACACACAACCTTATTCACACGAGGCTTTATGGATACGTGACATCAGCATTTGATTAAACATACAGCAGGGAGTTATATCGTCCACCATCTCTATTAAGTGGCGGCTGGAGTGTCCTGATGGGTACAAATGTATGTACAGTTTACGTGATATGCCAAGTCTAACCTTACCTCAGAAAGACACACAGCTCCATGGCTTTACAAAAATATAACTTCTATAAAGCCCAATACGAGGCTTTCTAACTTATCTATGACAACATAAAACTTAATAACGCACTACAAATGCTAGACAATATACTTGTACATGTATATTAGAACACTAATACTGTTAGCACTACAAAGGTTACACTTTTATTGGCAAAGTTGGAATGTTCTACATTGCAACCTTATAAATACAGAAGCAATCTGTAATCTCATTGATTTACGTTATAAAATGTCTATCGGTTGACACTTGAGCTGTTTTGGTTTGAAACCTTCACACAAAAGAATCAAACTAAAATCAATACAAGTGTTTATCGTTCAACAGTTCCTTCAAATGTTACAAACTTTAGTTATTTTACAGCTGGGAGGATTGTGATTCTTCCTTCGCCTCTGGTGGTTCCTGTTCCTCGGTGGACATGGCTGCCTGGCGTAGGACAGACATGTGTTCCTCCATGTCAGAAATGGAGCTGTCAATCCAGTCCAGCGACCCCGGCATCATACAGGCGTTCTTTGTGACAAGGGCGAGATGGCTGACTGACAGGAGCAGGGCAGTAGACCTGGGAAATAGTTTTGTCAATGATCATACATCATCAATCAGATTCTAAAATGTTTCCTGCCTTGCATGGAACAACTATGTGACTGACCTGCTTACGTTTCAGTTTTGTGAAAAGAAAACCCCAAACAACTGTACCATTGTCGTGCAATAAAGTTCTTAAATTTTGAAAACTGATACTTGTAGATGTTTTAAGTAACATACTTTCCACTAGTGAACCTTTTGTCAGAAACTGCACAGTTAAGACTACACACTGTCACTGAGAGGGTATTCAAAACTACTTACCTAGCTTCAAGTAACTTGGGGTCCAAGGGGGGATACATGGAACGAACCACATCATCAACCCTACAAGAGATGGATTAAGAATGATATCTTTGATGAAATCTTTTAATCCAAGCAGATACAGATGTTTTATTAGAAAAGTATTTAAGCATATGCAGAGGGCACTGCAACTGAAAAGAACATGGAAGACCATTTAAGGAAAAAGGCGAACCTTGGGCTGATTCTCTTTGCTACCACCACTACCTCCCCGAGGTCAGCCTGACTGCGGATCTGGGAGTTGTTCATCGTCATGCCAACCAGCCTCTCCGTCAGCTGGTGACACGTCTTCAGGATGGCCAGACAGTGGGGGATCAGTCCCCTGGGATGGAGACAGGAACGTGTTCACATGGTGTTCATGGTGTTCACATGGCTTTCACATGGTGTTCATATAACATTCACATGGTGTTCACATGGCTTTCACATGGTGTTCATATAACATTCACATGGTGTTCACATGGCTTTCACATGGTGTTCATATAATATTCACATAGTGTTAACATGTTGCTTACATAGCATTGACCAAGTATTCCATGTGATATTTACATTAGAAAATTATACATTATATAAACTACAAAAATGAAAGATCAAAGCTCCAAAGTAAAGACCAACTCACGATGCGTCATCTATCCAAGCTTCATTCTCCAGAATATCGTCGATGTCGGGTGTGAAGGCAACATTGGTCAGCTCTACATCTGACACTTCTCCATGTGTCTCCATCGCACTCACCAACTCAACTGTGGGGCGACTGGAGGGAAAACAGGTCCAGAAATACAGTAAACCTATAAGCCATATGAACAGGATGATGTTTCACTTTGTATTTGACTTCACAGATTTAAAAGTACATGTACACTGTTATTATTACAACTATAGACTAAGACTACACTTTCCATCTCCTGTTGTATTATAACTGTTAAACCCTCCAAGAACAACACTAGCCTTTTTACTAAACCTATTCTAGTAAGTTGCTGAGTCTCTTTCGTCCTCTCTGCAAGAGACCTGGGGGCTAACATAGGTTTAGAAACCAGGTTAGAAAGACATGTCCAGACTTGTATTATAAGAAAGCTTAAGAAACCTTTATATAAGAAACCTATATATGAAATAAAGACTGAACTTTAACTTCCAACACTAGATAGATTGGGACTTACCCCAAATTTTCAGTTGACTCCATCAACCTTTCATGCTAATAAACCTATATATTATAAGAAACCTTACTTGATAGCCAGACTCTGCTTGTACAGGTCCGCCCGCCCGCAGTACTTCTGTTTACACACCAACAGGAGGGAAATCAACGAGGCCACGAAGATGGCCGCCAAGATGGCGATCGCCACGGCAACAACGGTTTCCATGGTGATGATGGAACAATTTATCAGCACCTCGGCATTCCCATCAACCTGTATTGGATATAAAAGCACATTGTTTTTAGAACATCAATTTGATGTTTCTATGCTCCAAATTAAAGTAAAACATGTTCGGGTACGAAAATCATTTCTTGACAAGGATTGGTGGGGCCAGAATGATTTAATTATCTCCTGCTAATGTTGTGGGTGGTGGGTGGTACTGCGAATAGGTGGTGAGTCACTGTTCGTGTGTGAAGTCTAGGGATGATGTGGGGGGAATAGATCATTTTAACATCGTTTAATTTCATTTCATTTCATAGCAAAACAAAGAATAAACCTATGTGGTGTGAAATATGCCACCAAAAATTTGCAAACTGTGGATCCAACTCACTTCTTTTATAAATTATACATGTGTGACCAGCATGTCACTGCACTATGCATAATTTTCAAGCCTCCGCCAGGCCTTCCTAAGAAGTTCTGGACAGGCTAAGAAGTAAAATAGGGCCAGCAAAATAGGGTGGATAAATGGTCAGGAGATTGAGCCACAGTAAGGGCAACATTTCTCTCTTTGGACAGGCAAATGTTAACCCTACGGTAGTCAAACTCACCTGGAAAATAATTGGTATCAAATAATTTATCCCCCTAGCCCTATTTTGGCTAAGTCAGTACCAGTACTAGTGAAAGTGAAGAAAATATATAGCTCAGCTTGCACTAGTCTCTTCGAAGCAAAGAGCACACGATAATGTCCTTTTTTACTTCCTTTGTGCAAAAAGGAAGTGACGGTGCATTTTTCCATCACCACGTGTGAAAAAGCTGGTTTTAATCTTCCAGTCAGCAGAAAATTAGCTGTGGAATATGAGCAGGCCATGACTGACAACTTTGTTTTTCTCACCTCGTCTCAAAACCTAGTCCGACCTCGACGGCAAAATTACACTAAAACTAAGACGAACCAGAACCTAACTTACCTCCAAGAAGGTGCCTGAGTGTCAGGGGAACCTTGTGGACACAGAAACGCGACCAAAATGTCTCCAGGATCTCCAGATCACAGCATTTTTCTTAGACCTTCCAACTCACAAACAAGTTTCAGACTTCTTCATGACGTACCCCTACTTCCTGTTCACAAGAAGCAGGACGGACCGCATCGACACAAAATTAACTTGTTTTTAAACTTGACTACTTTAGCGTTATCGGCAATGTTGCTTAGGATGTAAGAATTTACAGGAGTACATTTTCGATATATTTCATATTACAGTAAACTACAGCTCAACGATAGGCTTGGCATTTAGAAGCGTTTAAAAGGTCCATTGTATTGCGTTTAGTTGCGGTGCGTACATTAACATGTAGTGAAAGGAGAGAGGGGATTATCCGTTATGAGTAAAAGAGGATGCCAAATGCAACACGAGGGACTGTTCACTACTGCTCCTGGACCCATTGGCTACGTTCACAGCATAATAACGTACAAATAAAGCAATAAGTTCTGTGCATCAAGCTTTGTCCATAATGTTTATTACAGTAATGTTAATCATCACTCAAAAAGTGGGAGGTAACAGATATTTCAGATCAATACAAATCACTCCTTGTTATATGCACACCTTTTTCATCTTTTGTAAACAACAATGTTAAAAACACAAAATCTTCTCAGCTATCAAAAGACATACAGAACTCTTGATGTCTCTTTACTTTGGATATACATGTATATGTACATATATACATGTATATGTACATATATTAAAGTTTGAAAAATATCCGCGGCACCCACTGATCACTGCAGCTGTACGTGGTTACTAAACCTTATCTAGCTGAGAGTCTCTTTTCGTTCTCAGCAGCTTAACTTTACATAGGCTTGGTCAAAAGGCTACATGTATAAGTGGACATTCAATATGTTTCTGCTGCAACTTTGAATTTAATGCTATTTGCAACTAAACTTGTTCTGGATACTATGTACATATTACTTGATTAAATACATATTGAAGTATTCCTACTGTATATATATATATATACTATACCTGTGTAATATGTGAAGTTGATATCATATACACCATTGTCCAGGTGTCTTTTTTTGCTTTATTCTCTTAGATGAGAGCTTTACAATCAAGCACTAGTAGTATCACGTTGAATGCAAATCACAGTGTCTATTCATCTCTTCAAATAAGACATAAAACCACTTCAAATACAAATACACATTGCAAACGGGGCGTTATTTTACACATAAAAATGTCAGTTTCCCATTTCAGACATCCAGCAATGTCATGGTCTTCAGTGGGGCATTCATGGTATAATTCTCAGGAAAAGGATCCGACAGAATGTTCACGGTAGAAGCCCTGAGACCGCCGTGTGTTGACGGTGACCGAGAGTCGCTGTCCCCGTACCCGCTGTCACTCAGCTCCTCAGACGACAGAACGTTCTCGGCCAGTTCCCTGACATCAGGACGCTCCATTTCCTCGTACAGGTCACACAGGCGCTGTAAGGCCACGGCTCCGCCGGAGACGTTCTGGGTTTCCCAGAAGTCTAGAAGCTTGCTTGTCGGGCTAGAAACATGAAATTACGGTAACTTTATTTATCTACACTACAGCGAAGTTGTTTACAAGAATCACAATCAATTGCAAGTTACGTGCGCTGGTACTTGGTCTCCTTACCTATGATGTTCTTAAGTCTAAAGTTTTCAAACGCATAAAGACAAAGACAAGCTAACGGTTTTCTGCCATGAAACTACATATTATAGAGGTTTGACTCTAGCTGATCACTAGAAATCTTTGAGCAACTCCTGGAATGCGTGCGTGCGTGCGTGCGTGTGTGTGTGTGCGCGCGCGTATGTGTGTACGGTGCACACGCCCGCATGTGTGTGTGTGGGGGGGGGCGCATATGCGTGCGTGTTTGCCCGAAATTTGCGGTCAAATTGAAGTGCAGACTTGGCCCATCGCGCACCCTATTCCACTCCTCAGATCATAGACAACCGGTCCACCCACCTCTTGTTTCTCCCTATCCACCTGATGGTCGGTGAGTCGATCTCTAACTTCTCTGCCATCATCCTCCAGTCGTTTCCCCCCGGCTGCTCCACGTCCAGCAGCACACACATCTCGTGCCGCACGTCCAGCGGCAGGAGGGGACGGGGCGGCCGCACGGGCGGAGCTCCTCCTGCTGGTGGAGGAACGCCTGGGTGGGCGACAGGCAGCCTCTGGGTGGGTCACTTCTCTGGGACATCTGATGAAGAAACATCAAGGATGCTTTTATTATATATATATATATATATATAGCTTTCCATCGGCTTGCAGCAACTGTATAAGGCAATACATTGTAGCCCAGCTAGGCAGCACTGCTTATGCCGCACAACTACAGGCATACAATATCTATCTAAGATGTTGTACAAAATAGCAATACGAAGTACTAGTAGTCATGCCTTCAAACACCAGTTATAAATCTTGTATTCAGGTGTACAACAACCTACGTAAACAACCCAGCCGGGCCCCTGGTTCGGAAATGTGACCTTGGCATGAGCATTGAAAAAGTGTATCATTAGAACCCTCGCACCCACTAATGAAACTGTATGTTAGTTAAAAAGAAGTGACTTCAAACGACAGAAATGATTCTGTATACCTGAAATGTGTCTGACGGTTTTAAGGTCACAGTTGACCCACGTGACGCCTCCTGCCAGACGGACACTGTTGCCCAGACGTCAGCCATGCGTGCCGCTGGGTCGGTCTTCTCAAGCCGGACGGTACATGTAGCGTCTGTCTCGTCGGAGCCGTCCCAAAGTTGGCCTACCTCAACCCTCTACAAAGGGAAAAAATACGTGTTATATTGTTCTTGCAAGGCCATGTTGATTTGATTAAATTGATGATTAAAATTCTGTTGGTACCCCAAAATTGATGCAAGCGTCCAAATGAAAAAAAGATTGGCAAAAAAATCTGCCTTCATTATGAAATCTACGGTCATAAAGGTTGAGCAAATAATAGACTCTTCGTTTTCATTTTTTCACATTTTTCTTCTTGTCCTTTGAAATTGATTTTGGCATTCTACGACTTTAGTATCGTTTTCAAATATTTTTTTTCAATTTACGGCTCATTTTGCAGCTTCTTTATACGATATACAGGAGGGTCGAAGACTTTTTTTAAACACACGAAAATTCATGCGCGAGCGAATGTCATCCATGTAATCAAATTGATATAGCCTAACTAGTAGTAGATCGTGGTAATAGAACAGACTTTGCAAAACCTACGGAACTACCTTCAGCACATTTGATAATCTCACCTGATTCTTGTCGCTATCATCCATTGTCCTCCAACCGGCGGCGATCCTGCTCACGCGCATGCTCACTGCCACGTCGCACTTCTCCACCTGCATTCTCTTGTCGTCATCCAGAAGTCGTCCGCCGAACTGACTCAGCTCTTTGTGGTACATGCGCTGAAAAATAATAATTGCAACAGATTAATTACACTTCGGTGTTGAAAACCGGACACAAAATGTTGTTGGGAAGTGTTGTTCGCTAATTTACAGCCCACAAATTAAGGCAGGATGTTGCAAGTCTGGCGTTAGTCCACCGAACTTCACTCGCTTGTGTCCCCACCTCAAACTTTCTCGGCCAGGACAGATTTTGCTACTACCGTACGGAAGCAAATGTTCCTTTCTTGTTGCATACTTAAGCCTCAGCTCTCAGGAGTAAGTTCCACACGAAAAGCATCTCTTTCCTTGAACTACTTCGTTGTGAAAATGTGAATGCTTCTAAATGGGTGTACAACACTACAACTTCAAACTTATGAAGTCTATTAGGTAAACAAATATCTATCTTAACAGTCCCTAATGTATCCCAAAACATGTGTGTGGTTCCAATGAGCTTTGTTTTGAGGTGAAAACTGAAGAAAACAATTATAGTTACTGTAACTCACGAATCTTACCTCACTCGCTTCTGCAGAAGCGTCATAGAACCTGATTCGCATCTGGTAGATGCGATCATCAGGCGTGTGTTTGGAGGCAAAAGCCCCGACTCGGACGATCTTCTTGTCATCCTTGTTAACTTTGCTTGCAGACGTCTGGTCCTTCGCTTCTGCTCCAAACCCGGTGAAGTGAGAGATGAAGAGAGTGCACTTGCCGTTCTTGACAATGGATGCTGCGTCGCCGTCTTCAAGAAGAGACTGCCAATCTTCCACCGATCCTTCGTCCGTGTTGGTGAACTTGGGGACTATCTCGTCGAACTCCACAGGGAAGGTCAGGACCACGTGATCACGAAACGTCGTGCCGGTGGGACCGCAGTGCACGATGGGAGCAGGTTTCCCGTGGTTCATGCTGGGAGGGACGAAGATGTGGATGGTTTGGAGCTGCCCGACTTCAATGGCTCCTGGCGGGATGAACAGGTTGACATCATGGCGCGGCACGGAGAGATGTCCGCCCGTGTGATCGAAGACACCAGCCGCGAAGTTTGTAGAACTGTAATTGGTTTGCAGCTGGATTGACAAATTTGTTGCCATAAAGTTGGAGAAATCGGAGCACAGTTTGTTGAAGAGTTCCAGGTCTGTGTGACGGTCTTCTTGTGTTGTCATCTCTGCCGGTTGTTGCACATTTACTAACTCGACCGTCGGGAGTGATACCTCTCTAGCTCTCCTGTTGCAGACGTATATCAACGCGACGATCAGGATGGGGATCGCAAGTAGAACCACGCACACTGCAATGACGAGGAGGAGGATGGTATCTGCAAAATAAAAAGAAACGTCGCCGTTAGCTTAGGGAAGTTTTTTTTTTTTTGCATACCTAATGAGGAAATACGGAAACTATAGGTTGCAGTATGGGTCCTCTCCAAGCAGAGGTTTAGGCCTCGGCTTTTTTTTACATATTTTAGGCGTTTTTATATCTTATCTTTTTGTATATCTTGTTTTACGCCAGCCAAACGCGTATTGGATACCGCCCGGCCAATTTGATACAGTCGCGTTTTACCAATTCGATACTTTATACCAACCACCAAACATCTGCTTGGAGAGTAGGTATGGGATCGTCGAACTCTATTTGGCTTTCTGATCACTATACTTCAGTGTTGACTTACTAATGTTGTTCATTGGTCCTGGGGTCGGAGTGGCACTTGCGATTGCAATTGCAGGATCAGGCGGTGAGGTTGTTTGCAATTGGGGGTTCACTGTGTTCACACTCAGAATCAAGAGGAAGAAGACCGCAACAACCGCTTTGTCCAGCATAGCTGTGGATCTCTAGAGTCAAGAAGGAAAAATAAACAAACAAAAACTCCATTTTAACTCTCTTGGGGAAATTATAATGAGCTTGAACGAAGTGTGCTACTGTTAAAATGATTTCATTTTGCAGAGATTTCCCAACGTAATTAGAAATTCATTATCACGATATATTTTTTCTTATTTTAAACGTAACAAACAACATACAATGTACAAGACACGGTGGAGAAGTCTGATCTAGCACATATTATTGCTAATTTTAGTCTCACCACCACTAACAAGAAAAGAATACCAATAATAAATAACAAAGCTGCATATGGGCGTTCCAAAATACAAAGACAACATGTAATAAATAAGATCATTTTGTTAGGATTTTTGTAAGCAATTTTAACCATTTTGTCACTTAAAAACCGATTTAGGTCTAATAGTGTGACAATCTTTCCACGCGAGGAGGTTGTTTATGATTAAAACACAGCACACCATTTGAACTTTTTTACCTCAAGAGTGACGTAAAAGAAGTACATGTATGTTGATTTCACTCACCTGTTCACTGTATAGTTCAGGGCATTCGGTACAACATACGGGAGCAAAAATCACGTCTCAACCTGTAGTAAGGCAAAAACGTAACATGACCTTCGAGTTTTTAAACAAACAGCCACATACGTATACATAAAATACTAGTAGTCTTACATGTAAAAATTGACATCAGAATTTGTAGAAAGCATTCAACAAAACGTGTGGAAAAGTGTTTTCTACCAAAGCCAAGCGTCGACGCAACTTTTTCCTGCTGAATCTACCATAGCCAAGCGTCGACGCAACTTTTTCCTGCTAAATCCGTAGTCTTTTCTTTGTACTGTAAGTGGTAACAAAAGGTGCCGTAGGATAACCATTACTTTTACTGGGGTTGGCTTACGCCTCTTTGTTTGCCCAAATATTTTTTTGTTGCGGGCCTGACGAAACCAGCCTGAGAGGACAGGTGACGTTAACCTGGTATCCGTGAGTCTATCGTAGTTGGGGCAGGCTGTCTTCGAAGCTCTAATAGCCTAGTTTCTCCCCGTCCAGCTCAAAGGACCTCCCGGTGCAACCGGTGGGAATGTAGGAGTTTTGTACGCGAAATCGCGGTGGATGAACTCCTGACACGCAAAATCTACCGGGGAACCTAGCTGAGTCGGGCGGGGAAGAGCTTCTCCAGCCCCGAAGAAAACCCTTCCCAACCGCGATAGGCTGGACAACAGGCTATTTTGACGTACAGTTATATCTACGTTACGGATATGCACCCATGCGGCATATCACATCACCAAAACGCATCTGATATTACTCAGTTTGCTTCTACGTATAGAAGGATGTTATCCCGTATGTAGTTTCAAAAACATTTTTTTCTGAAGGGAAATTGTATTCAATGCACGGGATTCTGATGCAAAAAACTTCATCGGGTACCGTGACAATTTTGTAAAACTACAAGACAACAATTTCTCGCCATACTTAAGTGCAGTTTGAAGAACGAGTAAGCATTTATAATATTAGTAATGGTTTACTGATAAAAACACATACAAATACAAATACAAATACGAATTCGAGAAGTTTGATTAACACAAACATGTACAGGTTTCCCGAGACAAGGCGTGGTACGGAACGAATAAAGCACCAAGGCAAAACAAGAGTTCCACGATCTCGATAAACTTTCGCCAAGTTGAGTCGGGCAAGTTGCTTAACCTTTTAATACGATAGAGGAACTGTATAGCAAAATGCAATCATTTCGTGGTCTTATCGAGACCTGCCCACCTACCAAATTTCATATCAACCCATCCAATGAGTTATCGTCTTAAACCACACACACTCACACGCACGTACACAAACACACACGCGCGCGCACGCACGCTCTCACACACACACGCGCGCGCGCGCGCGCGCTTGGGAAAATAACTTCTTGGCGAAGGTAAAAATCTGTAAGTTACAGGTATAGAACGCACCTGCATCCTGCATAGCCTCTGACTGCCAACCCTCCGGTAGGAACGATCTTGAACGTCTACCTGTTTGTTTGAAGTTAACCTTCTACCTGCTGAGGTGGCCTTTTTCGCACCAAAGTTCTATTAGTTACACGGTTAGGTAGCAGGGAGAATGTAGCAAGGAAGTGTAATTCTCTTGAAAATACTGTTCAATGTGGGAGGTGGCTCTGGTACGAACTTCAAAACACTTTTGTTTTATAGATAATGGTCTACTTATAGTCAAATGCCTTTTGTCAAATAAAACTATTATGGCCAGTAGGAGAGTTGTTCACACATCTCAATGACCCAGGTTGACCGACTGGATTTCCTCAACGACGGATTTGGTCGACGGATAATGAACAACCAATGGCATAAGGAAAATAGCAACGCCAAAGTTATGTCATTTGTCTGTGCTGGATTAGAATTAGGGAAGGGACCACATGCTTGGAACATAAACAGGGACTCTATTCAACTAATTACATGTATACTACGCTAATGACATGCGCAGTGAAGCGTACAGTAGTACAGAATTGAATCTGGTGGTCTTTCGGGATGCCCTTAGGCCTTTGTACGGATCTTTTTCTTCTCCAAGTTAAAGCAAAGCTAAAGCCCTACTTGCATACTTGTTTGAAGAGACAAAAGAGTAGCATCGATAAAGAGTAGTTAGTCAAGCAGGGCCCTTGATTACCAAGCCATGTGTTTTCGCTGTCTTTATGAATGTATAACAATAAAGTCACTTGAGGGGAAATGGTAATATATTTGTACCTGCTCTCGTCATACATATATAGGATACATAGTCAGTGACAAAACGGAGGTTGTTTCAATTTTATTGTACCTTTCTTATTTCTACATAGAGGTATATTCTGAGTGCTTTAAGGGGGCACACCCCTGTTTATTTGGCGTTTCTTTCGAAGCTGCACACCCTCAAATCTAGCGACCGTCTCTGTCGTAGAATAATTCGGAAGGAGAATAACTGTATATGGGACGAAAGGATATCTCTTCAACTACAAGACCAGCTGAGTTTGGTTTCTTCAACCTTTTTAAGTTTGGTAAAATCAACGGAAAAAACATTTTCACTCCAAAATTAAAGCACAAAATTGCGATTTTTTGGCGTAGGATAATCCCATAGAAAAAAATTTCCGTCAGAAATGACTGATGCTGGCAGAAAGACCCAAACCTTGACTTTACCCGAGTAAATTATAAAGAAACTTCTAGTACTGAAATTTCTTTAACCCGTCCACGGCGTGAGGGGTTTAAATCCACTCCTAGGAAGGCACAGAGCGAAATCTAGGTCATACGGGCGGATTACGTACACAAGGATACCCGGAAGTAAGGTTCGGAGCCAAAAGAAATTTTCACCCCAAAATCACCATTTCTTACACTCTTCAGCCAAGTTAATGTTTAATGATATTTCGTGGCAGTTTATGAGAAATGTCACCTCAAACTTGGACCCTCAAAACCCTTTCGTCACTTTTTTTTTACCACGGACTACCACGTACGGAACTGGGGTGTGCACCGTTAAAGCTGTGTTTACTTTTCTGTGTTAGATGTTAAGTTACCAAAACAGCTTTATTTTACCAAGTAATGTTGCTTCCCCCACTTAATTCAGACTTCAGACAAGAGGTTACCCGTTACGCTAGGTTGAGTTGGACATTTGCCATTATTTTGTCTTGTTTGCGGCGGTTAATTGTCATGGCAGGTTGGAGCGTAAACAGGTACCAGTGTCACTTACGACATGTACGAGTACGAACAATATCCAGGGTCTTGGGGTCATGAAGTAAGGTGTCAAATGTACGTGACTTTCTGACGTTTCGGGAACTTTCGGGAGGTGCTTTCCACCGGCATAGTCATTGTAGCCTGGTATCTAGCCTTGTTAGCTTTGGTCCGCTCCCCAAAGCTAACAAGTCTTGACACCAGGCTATAGTCATTGGTGATTGCGTCAGATGTGTTATTGACAGTAACCATGGTGGTGAATGAAGGCAGAAGGGGAATTCCACTGTCTGGAAAGCACCTGTTTTCGAGCACCTGTTTTTCCCACAGCCCAGTCCCCTCAAGAGCACAGTTCTGAGGAACCGCACTTGGCCATTCAACAAGCAGGTAGGGATTTCAAGTCGCTTTTATAACAAGTTTGGCCGTCAGTAAACTGCGTCGTAGTTCTTTTGTAAACTTCACTTCAGTAGCCTTGCCAGCTTCCGTGTGTCTCAAACTTTTGAAGACATGCGCAATGGCAAGGGCGCCAAATAGTACCGTAAATAACATTTATACGTTTGATTTCTAATCTTTTATTCGACTCTTAATATAATTTATATCTTATAAAAGTATGAACAATACTTAATGTTAGGTACGAAGATTGTGTTTGGCTGTAACAAAGGCGCTTTGAACCTTCTTCGCAACACCAAAACACCGTTAGTAATAGTAAGCTACTTATGTCGCTGTGACTCTGCAAAGTGGAACAAACTTCCCCAGTATCGATTCTACCGCCACCTCAAATTACAATCACGTTTGTGTTTTGCTGGGCGTTGGTAATATGAGGATAGAGAGACACGCTAGGTTTGGCTTAGAATGTTGTGAATATTTAGCGACTAGTTTGCACACAACGTACCCTTCATTGGTATACTAAAAACTAATCTTAACATAGGTTGATTTGAAACAGATGTCCCAGCGGATACACCGCGCAGGTGCACCCACAACATTTGTCCTTCTTGGTTCAACTTTCTATCAAGTGTGTCATACAAATTCCCACTTTTGGCAAAGGAAAGTAGAAGTCACTTGTAATCAAAACTATATTTGTTTGAATACTTTTCTCGCCATGCGCCGTCAAAAAGCTGACATTCACATCTCACGTTTACAAGTTAGTAGGTGGGAACTTCACAGGTGTAACCATATTTGGCAGTAACATTGTCATATTTGGTGGGCTGATTGTACAAGTCGCATATTCAGAGATTACAAATTTGGGAGAAGCTTCCGTCGACAAATTTACTTTACGTAACCATGGTGATAAATGACGACAAACAGCATTAGGGGAATCCCCTCTGGAAATCACCTATTTCAGCCCTGTCCCCGCAAGTGTACAGGCCTGTTTTAAGAGGAACCTCACTTGGCCATTCAACAAGCAGGTAGGAATTCCAAGTCGTTTTTATAACAAGTTTGGCCGTCAGTAAACTACGTCGTAGTCACGGTGTCGTAGTACTTTGTAAACTTCACACTTTAGTAGCCTTGCCAGCTTCCGTGTGTCTTAAACGTTTGAAGACATGCGCAATGGCAAGGACGCCAAATAGTACCGTAAATAACATTAACACATAAATAACATTAATTTCGAACTTTTTGTTCGACTCTTAATAGAATTTATATCTCATAAAAGTATGAATACTTAATGTTAGGTACGAAGATTGTGTTTGGCTGTAACAAAGGTGTTACAACTTTGGGAGGGGCTGCCGTCGGCAAATTTACCTTACGCATCCCTGGCACGTATTTACTTCAGCCGTACTGTGACAGTAACCTTGGTGATGAGTAAAAACAAACAGCATCAGGGGAATCCCCTCTGGAAATCCCCCACCCCTCACTCCCTCGCGTTCAGTGTGCCTGGTTTAGCCTTGTTTCCGCCAGTGCGCTGTCCTCTACCTGTTGAGGGACCACACTATGCATTTAGCAAGCAGGTAGAGACTTCAGGTCATTTTATAACATGTTTGGCTGTGAGGAAACTACATTGTTGTAGTTTGTAAACGTTGCATACTTTTGTTTCAAGTGTCAACGTGTCAAGTTTCGTCATTTGTAATTACATGAAGCGGGTGATGTGAATCACTGCATAGAAAGGTATGTAAATGGCCGTGGCCAAGAAATCCGAACACGTAACGCCATCAAATGCACGCACGGTGTCCTGGTATGGCATCTCACTGATATTTTCTTGTTGTTTGGTTAGTCAATGTTATCAGAATATTGCACTGAACTACGTACCATTGGATTTGCGAACTACGGCATTAAATTCAATTCAAACACTAATAATAAAACTCTTCGATAGTCGGGTCAATATTTTCTGGGCAGTACATGTGTGACATTATACAGTATTTCATGTTTAATTTATGATATTGTAGGTATTTGTATTTTATGTTCATAATGTTCAATATTGTAATCTGTTTTGTATTCAATATTGTAATCTGTATTTATATTGTAATGTTAGGGAGGACAACTTGTAAAGGTGTCAATACACCTGTTTTGTCCTCCCTTCCACACTTGTGGTAAATTCAAATAAACAATAAACAGTAACTTCATTGATTGATGATCCGTTCCTATAGGTGATTTTGTTAGTTAGGCGATGTGATATAATTTCTTTGATTTAATCTCTGTTTTGTTCTTAATTTAAATGTATTTTCAGACTAGTCTGAGACAATGGCAACCATGCGTATGAGTATGTTTGTGGTGATCATGTCGACCGTGTGGCATCTCGTGTGTGCTGAAAATAACACACCCCTCATACAAAACGGTAAGACTAGTCTAACTTGGAAGTTACTGATAGAGAATTTTCTTCATCGGCTCTTCAATTTGAACTGCAGACATCTTAATGTTGCTTAGTATGTTATGAAATTATCCCTAATCATATTACGTAACACTTTTATTTGATACCTTTTGGTTAAATGGTTGTATCTTCCACTTCCCCACACAGGCAACACGACTGTCGAGCTCTCCGTAACATCACATCCCAAGTTGATACGTTGGAACAGCTCCATGGAATACGCCTCATACACATGTCAGGCGACCGTGGTTGGTTCAAACAGTGCATCACAGTTCTTGGCTGTGGACTGGTCACCCCCTGTCCATCTGCAGAGGTCTGACTATGGCGACCGCTGGGAAGAGACCAATTCCAGCTAGTAGGGAACCAGATATATGTCTTTATATCTATAGGGACAAGAAGTTCTAAACTTCAGCTGTAGTCCAGCATGAAATCATGTCATTTGCTTTGCAATAAATTTTCTTAAACAGTTAAAACATTTACAGACATAGTTTTACATGAATTCTCAGTCAGAGTTGGACAGTCAGGAAAAAAATACTAGTAATCATTGTAGTTCTTCGTGGTTTAAACCATCGTGTCACAATGTTAAGAATCCAAATGTAAATAGGCATGACACAGCTTTTTGTCAAGTGAACGCCGTATATTTTACATCTTGTACCCTTTATCATTTAGCTGGCAGGGGCAACGGTTTACCAAGAACGTCACATTGAAACTGAGGGATGTAGTACTAGAGGATGCCGGCACATACAACTGTTCTGTCACTTACCAACCAACAGTTGCCTCCTCGTATCAAGCGTGGACAACGACTTGGCTGGAAGTTGTAGAGATCCAGCCTGGGGAAGGAATACCCCCATATCTCGCAGCCGCTTTAAGTAAGTAGAGTTGATTTTACATGGAATCATAAATACATCTTTCTATATAAGATATAACGTATCAGCCAAGATGAAACGGCTCCTCTGTTTTCAAATCATGGAAATATTTCAATTTGTTTTTATTTGCAGCTGGTGCATGCTGTCTCTGCGTTGTAGCAGCTACAGTAGTCCTGTCGTGGCGGATTTATATGAAGACAAAAAGACAGCAGATGCCTGGGGTCCGTGTAAAGGTGATTATATTCCCTTTTGTACTTGCGCTACAGTAACTACTCTTCGAACTCACATGACCGTATACTAGTAGTATACGGCCATATGTGTGTAGATGGAATCAGCCATTGCTGTGAAACAAACATTCTCATTCTCAAGCCATGTGATTGCATGCCTAGCCTCTACACTCTTTCAAATAAAAGTAACCAGTTAAACTAGTACCTGTTAGCCAAGCAGTACAAAAATCCATTATTGTTTTTGTATTGATTTAACAGAGCGAAAACTCAGTCACCCCTGCTGAATTAGAAGACTGCAAGAGGAATGTTCATGGAGTGCACGAACCTTCTTCGCGACAGCCATTGCCAAAGCGCGTTGAGGTAGTAACAAGCAAAGGTACCATTAGCCCCGACGAGCAAGAAATTGCCCCTAGGGAGCACTACAAGGAATTCTCTGCTAGCCACAAGGAAGACAACAGGAGAAAAGTGCAGGAGACTTTTATCCACAAAGCTGACAACCTCAAACTGAATCCTGTTCATGATGACATGATGAGTCAACGGCAGTGCAGTGCCAGTGGACCTCCAAATCTTTCGAAAGTGGCCGACAACGCGTATGGTTCTAACGAATCATCTGGATATGACAGCATGGTCAGCCCACGTGCAAGTCCGGACATCAAACGATCGGAAAAAGATACAAAGACACGAATGTCACATGAAGATACGACAGCAAACAATGGGCGACAGAAAGACCTGTGCCTCTTCGAGAAGCTTCGTACCGATTACGTATACTCGAAATTAAGAGAAGATAAGCTTCCTTTAGCAAGTGACAGACTGCAGACCAATTACAGTTCTACAAACTTCGCGGCTGGAGTTTTCGATCACACCGGCGGACACCTCTCCGTGCCGCGTCACGACGTCAACCTGTTCATCCCGCCAGGAGCCATTGAAGTCGGGCAGCTCCAAACCATCCACATCTTCGTCCCTCCCAGCATGAACCACGGGAAACCTGCTCCCATCGTGCACTGCGGGCCAACCGGCACGACGTTTCTCGATCATGTGATCCTGACCTTCCCGGTGAACCCAAGCTATGATAAAGATGACATAGTTCCCAAGTTCACCAACACTGAGGTAGGATCGGCAGAAGAGTGGCATCCTCTGCTTCAAGATGATGATGGAGCCTCTATGGTCGAAAATGGCAAATGCACCCTCTTCCTGGCTCACTTCACCGGGTATGGAGCGGAGGCAAAGAAAGAGGCATCTCCAAGACAAGTAAGCACCGAAATATCTAAATCAGTTGACGAGGCACACAACAGAGATATAGTTTTTGCTGTTTGTTAAAACGATTGCTTCACTTAATTTTATGTCATTGTTGTCCTGTTAACGTTTTCACTTTCTTTATTGATTTGATGACTAGTTTACTGATAGATTGAACACTTGATAGATTGAAAATTTTCACTTGTTTTTATTTATGAACCCCTTTTGAGTCACAGGGTACACCAGAGTGTTTGCCAATTCTTTAACGATAAGTTCGGATAGCTGCAATGACTTGTTAACGTTTCTTAATCAGATGTCCCCTAGAAGTGACCCACCCAGAGACTCCCATCTCCTAACGGCGTCGCAGGCGTTCCTACACCAGCAGGAGGAGCTACAGCCCACCGATCGTTCCCGCCCCATCCTACCGATAGACGTACGTCACCAGATGTGTGTGCTCCTGGACGTGGAGAATCCCGAGGGCAAAGATTGGAGGATGATGGCCGAAAAAATTGGGCTCGATTCGGCAATCATCAGGTGGATCGAAGCGAGATCTCGGTTCAAAAGGTGGGTACTGGGTAAATGTATAGTTATTACGTAGAAAATGAATTAGCAAATTTCATGGTGATAGCACTACATTCTGCTTCACGTGCGAAGGTAAGTTCCTAGCTATTATTAGACTAACTTAGAATTAAATCCCCTGTGCCTAGTGACACCAGACAAGAAGCTTTCTTTACTCAGGCCTGCTTTGGGCCAGGGATGACCTCTTGCCTTGGTTAAATTCTTTCACTTGCCAAAGCGTAAATGGCAAATGCCTTGTGAACCCACATGTCTTAACGTATAAATATATATGGAAGGGTTGACGCTGTCAGCTGGCCTGGATAGAGACCCATAGCACACTTGGCTCAAAAGTTATTCCAGTGTGGATAAAAGTTATTCCAGTGTGGATAAAAGTTATTCCAGTGTGGATAAAAGTTATTCCAGTGTGGATAAAAGTTATTCCAGAGTAGGATAAAAGTTATTCCAGTGTGGATAACTTTTGAGCCCGGTGTGCTATAGGTCTTGCATCTTGGCAAGCGCTGTCAGCAGACTTCTGGGCAAAAGAATGTCAAGGGAGGCTACGACAGTATTTAAAAGCACTTTACTTTATGTTTTCAGCCCAACATATAAGCTTTTGGACTTCTGGGAATCACGAAACGTCTCCGGAGGTGCCGTGGCGTTGTGGCGGCTGAGTAACCTCTGCGAGGAGATCGGCCGACCTGACGTGGCACAACTAGTCAACAGTGTGTCGGGCGACGTAATGGGCGACGGTAATGAAGGTCGTGGCGGCTCCATGTCGCTCCAAGTCACACCAAACAGCAGTTGCGCCACCCTTAATTACAGCGGTTTTTCTGAGTCTTGCGTTGAAGACAGCGATTCCGAAACATACCGCAGTTTCGATAGTCAAGTTCGTAGAGGTGTCTCTTGGTCTGCACCAATAAAACGTGAGGTGATGCAGTCACCCGATAGCGGTTACGAGTACGGCGACTTAATGTCGGTATCAAGCCAATCCACACAGAACGGCAGTCAGTCTACCCTCAACCAGCTGCAGAGTCTCCATTTGCCTGAGTCTGTTTCTAAGAAGAGTCCTGTGTTGGGTCCCCTCAAGGGCTTGACAGTCACAGACTTATAGACTGGAGCAACAGTCGTTGTTGGCCATGTCTTTAGCATGACGTTGAGAGCGAAAAAAACTTGACGAGTTTCGCTTTTGAATGTGCCTCCATTGTACACTGAAAATACTTAGTAAACCACGTCATTCCGTGAAGTCAATTTTCATGGGCTGTAGATCTAGTATAAACTACGACGACGACGAAGCCAAGCCAAACTAGTACACTATACTACTCAATGGCGAGAAGAAAATACCCATATGCCCAAGACCCCACTACTAATACATTGTACATCTTTATTATAACAAATTCTATGGTCTTGTGTTCCTCTGTATAGAAACCTTAGCCCTTTTTGGGCCAATTGGAAATGGAACACATTGTAGGTATTTCTAGATTGTACAGTAGTAGAATGTTTGATGGTGGCACACTAATTATGGATTTCGGAGTTACAAATGCCTAATGCTTTTCTATTGGAGTGCTGTGCCCTGAAGTACTAAATGATGTATTGTTACTACCTTTTCTACATTAAGCAGTTCAATGATCACCATTATACCAATATATAACGTTTATTTTGTTAGTGTGCTTCCAGAATTATTGAACATGTATGCGTAGTTTATTGATTTTATCTTAAAATTTGTGGATACATATGCAGAAGTGAACAATCATGTAAATTATGTTTGTGGTGTTCTTATAATATGCAGTAACAAAAGACGTTATCTCTAAATAAACCAGCTGATGACTCATCTTTATTGTCATTTGAAGCTAACTTAGTCTGTCCCCCAGATTTCTATATTATACATCTACAGAATAATGCACACGGCAAAGCATCTGATGTCAGTCTACGAAAATAGCTTTATTCTCTGACACACAGATTATTTTTCAAACAACACAATCGTAATGGTACCATATTCCAGAATTAGCATTTTAACCTCGTCAAAAACAAGCAGCAATTGTCAGTCCTGAAGATACTCTCACACAACAAAAACAATGCAATACCATATTACACTCCAATAAAAACACATGAATATGCAAACTTGCTATTTCAAATTATTGCAGCAATATTTGTAGTGCTAAAAGAACTTATGCAAGTACAAATGTATGAAACCTTTGAGAACAACAATACAGAGGTTGTGCAAATCATACATTTACCAAAACAGCCAAAAAGCTGTAGTTAGTCCTTTTTTAAAGAAGGAAAGTTGTTAAAAACACAACATGAAGAAGCACAAAACCTTTGTGAATGGTAACATATAAGAGCAGACATATAACTACATTGCAAAAATGTACTGTCATGTCATGGCTACAACCAACAAAACTTACCTGATGAGAAGCATGTTATGTTATCATTTATCATAATACATATTACACTCATTGACTAATAAGCGATACTCTTTGACAATTATGATTTGGTAATTGGTGTCATAGCTTGAAATAACAATAGTGCTTAAAGAAACTTCAAAAATATTTATTGCTGCAAATTATTGGTGTACACGGACACACACTGACATCATGACACCTAACAGGTAAATGTTAAATTGTCAAAGCAACCAACAAAAATTTGATAAGTTTGAAGAATCTGGTCTTCACACATTGTGCCTCATTCTTTTACCTATCTAAAACAGCAGCATTTGCTTTCTAACTATGTGTTTAGCCATTAAAGGCACATGTTACATCGGGTTCTACAAGGCCCTAAAAAGCAGCAATTGTCAAACATATTGCAAAAAAAAATGGCTTTGTGGCTTGTCACACTGTACAGGTAACAATTAAGTACAATAGTACAATAAGGTTAGTACAATTAAGTACAATAAGGTATGAGTTATCAAGAGCATTCATCTGATCTCATACAACATTCTTGTGAGTGTGAGATCGAACTTGGAGATATCGGACAACTCAGCTTGCATAAATATTCATAATCATTAGTATGTACGTGAAAAAAAAAAACAATAAAGAAGAAATGAGACATTTTGGCAGTAAAAGATTTGCTGATGAAATGCAGTACTTCCCTGCTTGACATTCATGATCATGTCCATTTCAAAGGAACACAAAGTTAGTCAAATTACAGCAGAGCTTAACAACTATGGCAAAATACTACTTTCTCTAGGGCCATTAACCTTCAAACCATTATATTGACCTTCATAACTTTCATCAACACCAATGTATAAGATTCTACCAATGGAATGACTAGGTTTCTTGGTGCACAATAATGACACACATGATTAGACATTTAACTAACATCCTCCATGAACTGGGGGAGCAAAACTGGCCACCTACTACCTATATGGTCCAGCAACACGGTGAAATTATCTGGTAACAATGACCATCAGTTCCTACATGTACTTCTTGCAACAATAGTACAGTCATGGCCTCTATGTCACCACTATAAACATATGACAACTTGTGATTGGTCCACAATGTTTTCATTTGCATACTGAATGACCAATCAGCATACAGCTCCTCTCTATCAGCGGGCAATCAGAATTCAGAACACTCTTGTATGTGGAGATTATTACACTAAATAAATGTCCAACTTAGAGCTGTCGTAGCTATTGTTTCTTGTATTGCAATGCATCATCCCACTAGCTTTTGTAAAATATCTACTGTGCGTCACAATATTGTTAAAAACCTAACAGTAATGTAACTGTCGGCAACCCAAAAGCTCACACAGGTAACAATGGCTGTCTATTTGACTGATACAAACAAATTGTGACCCTAAGTCCACAGCAATTGATTGATGAAGCATAAAACAAAAGGCAAAACATGGTTCATTGTGTTGGTGAGAAAGACAACAACTTCATCACTCCTTCCTTTCGGAGATGATTTTCAGTACAGCTTCTTTTCCCTCCTGAGCTTTCTGTACCTCAGCTTCAGCTTCTGCTGTGATCTACAAGGAGGAAGAAAAAACACCATGTTGGTACCGAATGGTTTTCAAAATGCATCAACTGTAGAAGCTACAACAGCATATATAGTACAGTTGTACATGTATAAGAAAATGACAAGAATTTTCAGGATGAGTCTTACCTTCTGCTTGTACTGTTCATCCTTGATGTCTCGGAGGTTAATCATCACGTTGTGGTAGGCTCCCCAGACGCCTGTTTCCAGACTACGAGCTCCAACCTAAAACATCAGAATTGACTCTTGTTTATGATCTTACTTTTAACAGGTTAGAATGAGAGTTTTAAACTGTACAATGCTTGGTCAAAGTATTTCAGAAGAACCATGTCTGTTTAAAAAGAGATGCACTTAAGTTTAAAGAAGTCACCACAACATGTATGACATTATTATGATATTATGTTACACCAAGTGGTCCAAAAATCCTTTACTTTTGCATTAGAAAAGATACACTGTACATTATACCAAATGCTTTCAATGATAGTTCTTCCCCACCCTACCTGTAGATCAGACATGGTGGTGAAGTTGCCAGACTGAGCCAGTTCCTGCAGCTGGGTCCACACCCTGTTAGCTGTCTGCATCACGGCCAGCGGCACCTGGATGGCCTTCTTCAGACCTCCCTGCATGGCCTGGTCACGACTGGACCAAAAGGAAGCAAAATCAGAACAATACTTGATCTTCTTCTCTAACAACAAATAGGAAATATGACTTGCATGACTTGAGATATCTGTCTTTATTTTCTGATGAACAGGAAATTCATATCAGCTAAAATTGAGATGCTTTGAATATTTTGGGTGCAAGGTAAAGCAGTCAACTGAGGTAACACGTGATGTTTTTCAAGTTAAAAGGCTAAAATAACATGCTCAAATATCTAAAATTTGTCAACACATGGACTCACATGGCCTGTTCTTCCGGCGTGCCCTTAGGAAGTTTACAGGCGGCCATGTAGTCATTGAAGGCCGTGGTGTCCTTGTCAATGAAGGGAATGAGATCGTTCATGGTGGTGTAGAGAGGCGGGATCAGCTGGCGCATCTTGGAGTCCAGCTGCTCAAACTGACGCTTGCCGTACGTCATGAAGGCAACCATAGCGCCGAGGGCTGCACCCTGGGGAGATGGGAGACATGTTTGTCATAGTGGAACAAAACACAAGTAACATCTCCTGTACAGCAGTCGTTTATTTTTTTCCTTGATGTATACGACAAGCTTTTGACACAGTCTGGCACCAGTCTGGCACCAGGGTTAATATACATTGTACAAGCTTACCCGTCACAGAGTGGGAGGGTCCTTACTGCACTGGTTCAACAGCTACTTGACAGGAAGGCAACAAAGAGTCATCATAAACAGTGTATTCTCATCATGGGAAGTAATAGCAGCAGGTGTACCCCAAGGCAGCATTCTCGGACCACTGCTTCGCAGATGACACTTCTCCGTACAACTCAGCTAAGACAGTGCAGGAAGTGGCAGCCACCACAAACACTGATCTACAATCAGTTTCTGTTGGATGTTTGGCCAACATTGCATTGTCCGCAGCATAAAACATCATTTTCTACAAAAACCCAAATCCCAACCCCAACCTAACCCTAACCCAAACCCTAACCCAACCCCTAACCCTAACACCTAACCTCAACCCCAACCCCAACCCCAACCCTAACGTAACCCTAGCCCAAACCCTACCCCTACCCTAACCCTAACCCATCCTTACCATAGCTGCCACACATGCCGACACAGACCCTCCCCCCGGTGCTGGTGAGCGCGCTCCCACGTTCTTGATGAAGTTGTAGACACTGGTGGAGGCTAGAGGACCCGGCTCATCCTCACCACGGATCATGTACCTGGGAAAACACACTTACATTGAGTCTATAAACCACAGAATAATCGTAAAAATGTTGAATAGATCTTGGATATTTACAAAATGTACATCCATCTTGCATCCTTACCATAGACATTAAGCTCTCATACAATGCCAAAGTAAAACACACAATAAGGATATTCTAGACTTACTCAATGATTCTCTCCTTAGGGTTAAATGGACCAAGAGAATTCAGACCCAGTCTGTCTATAGCCTGTAAAACAAAGAAAAAACTTAATTGGAAAAAGCAATGAATTTTAGGTGTTCAATGTTCTGTTCTTTCTTCACAGAATATGGATAGCTAGTTTCAAATATTGCAACATGATGCACACTTCTAAATTCACTGGAGTATCACTAATCCACCATTATGTTAGCACAGAACAGCACAAACTGAATGAAAATTGAATCTTCTCAATACCAAGAGCACAAGTAAAACCATACTGTCATGATACAATGACGTAAAAGCAAGTCCCAGCCAACTGACCAGCCTGACTTTCTGGTCCTCCTCCACCAAGAACAGGTTGTCCTTCTGCATGTAGAACTCAGCAGCCAGCATGATGGCCTGTAGAGGAACCAGCCCGACAATCTGGGAACCAACCACTGGCAGGTTCAGCTCCTGTAGGGGACAGGGATGGGAAATATAAGAATAATCCATTCAGTCATGGTTATTCTGTCACCTGTTCACTAATACTGGTAAAAATACAATTCGTTACAGAGAATTTTGCATTGGAAGGTATTTCAGTACCAAGGTAAGCACATAGGAAGGTATTTCAGTACCAAAGTAAGTGCAATTTTGCATTGGAAGGTATTTCAGTACCAAGGTAAGTGCATAGGAAGGTATTTCAGTACCAAAGTAAGTACAATTTTGCATTGGAAGGTATTTCAGTAACAAGGCAAGTCACTAGGTGGCGCCTGTGAGATGGTTCCTTAGCTTGATTGTATCCAATGTTTATGATATAAGGAAAAGATTCACATTCTATCAAGTTTGGCACCTTGGCATCTTTGCAGGCCTCTTCGTAGGCGGTGTGTAGAGGAGTGACGTCGAAGTCAGTCAGGTTCATGGAGATCTGGGCCATGTTAGCCTCCTCCAGCCACCAGCCGATCCCTTGTACACACTTCAACCTTCCTGGCTGGGAGACAAGGACAGATTTTTTCATGTTTTCATAGCAGACAACACTGCTAGTGTGTTGTTGAATAGCATAAAGAGCTGTGATACTGAACCCAATCCTGACAATGAAGTCACTAAAATCACAATGCATAAGCTAACACTGAGGACAAACATGTACTGCACCTGCATGAAACCTAGATTTTTCACAGTTTTTGTTGAATGTTTGCATCAGAATTTTGCTTATTGCAGACAACATATTTCTGAAACAACATTTGAAAACTCTTTAGATTGGATGTCATTCTTAAATATGCGAATATGACCTTAAACAAGACATTCTCCCAAAGCGCTATGCACAATACATTAAGGGTTTCATGCAGACTAAGTATGTCTTCTTGTCCCATTTTAACTAATGATCAGGAAAAGTTTTGGTGATCCAAAATAGATGTTTCTTGCTAAGACAATTGCAAATGAATACTCTTTACACTAAACACTGGACTACAAGGAAGAAGGACTGATCTTAATCTAGTCCCACCTCATTGGTTCCCCTGCCCTGTTCCCTGAGGTTGAGAGCGATGCGGTGTGCCTGTTCCTTGGTGGCCAGTAGGTTGACGTTCCAGGCGATGAGGAACTTGCGACAGCCGGTTGCCGTGGCGCCCCAGCTGGGGATAAACTCTGCCGGTCCGTAGTCGGGCTGCCACGCAGGGTCCTTCAACTGTGGGGGGAGGATCATATCTTAAACACTTCAGACTTCACTAAACAAAGAAAGCTCAGAGTAACATAAGGCATTTCATGCTCAGAGATACATGTATACTGCTATAAGACTTAAGACTATTATAATGAGGCGATACCTTTTCTTCCAGCCCTTCGTACTCCCCAGCCCGGATACTGGGCAGTTTGACTCGTTTCTCCTCCTTGGCTGCCTTCCCGTACAGGTAAACTGGGAGAAACCACAGACATACACTTACAAACAACACATGGATGTAAGTATCAACTACTGAAATTTATCATTTATCATGAAAGTTCATTTGTCTTGGTAGTAATCATAGTACAATGTTAAACTTTATTTCAACACAAAGAGTATACACAGGGTTCAAATTTTAAATGACCACTGTTGCTTTCACAGCCTACCTGGCACCCCTAGCTCCTCTGCCAGCTGTTTCCCAAACTCATTAGCACACTGGATACAGTCTTCCTCTGTTACCCCTCGCACTGGGATGAACGGACAAACATCCAACGCTCCCATCCGAGGGTGTTCACCTGCAATACAGGGTTGAGACAATTCTTCAATATATAATTAAACATATTTCTATCTTTTTAGGCTGACTAGTTGGGAATAGCCAAACTTTTAGGGGTAACAGAAGCTGTGATATCAAACAATTCTTTGTCAAATGAGAATTGCAAGTACATGTACTATTGTATCATTGTGGGGCTTTTCTATAGTACATGTAAACTAAAAGAGGGATTGTATAAAAATTGATTTGATTAAATCATTGGGTTTAAAATCTGTTTGAAACCATTGGGAAACAAAATTCACTTTAACTATAAAGACATGGATAATTCTAATAGTAAACCTTTAATCATTTTCATATGCAATACACGTATAAAAGAGATTACAGGATTAGTTTTTGAGATTTCTTTGAATACCTCCTTTCTTGAGGTTGCCGTACAGTAGGAACAGCTAGAGAATTTACTTTGTTGTTTTCAGCTTTAATTTAAGATGAGAGAAGACTGACCACTGTGCCTTGTCATGTCGATGAGTTGTGAGGCTGCCCTGGCCCCGTTCATGGCGCCCTCCACCACGCTCTCCGGTGACCCCACAAACGTGTAGACCGTACGGTTGGTGGACGGGCCAGGGTCAACGTCCAGCAGACTCACGCCATCCGTGGAGGCTATGGCATTGGCAATGGCCTCTATAACCTGGAGACACATAGAGCATACAAAACAAAACTGATTACATTGAGATTGACATTATTCAAAACATGAGTTCTACTTGACCTTTGACCAACAAGATTGATTCAAGATGACACACAATGTAGATACAAATAACTGTTAAATATACACACAAGTGTATTTCTAAAAAAGAATTGTTCAGATACATGTGGTGTCTATATCTTTTGTATGAAATTCAGAAATCTAAACAGTAACATAAATGTCCAAGCTACATTTGGTAAAATTTTCTCATCTCATTTTCTCTAGCTATAGAAGGAATCTAAAGAGCTACATGTATGTATGTATATCCAAAATCTTGCCGGAAATTCTAAGAATTTTGAAAGTGATTTTTTTGTCATCAAAAGGTGTCACATACTGGCACATCTATATATTTGGTACAGATATCAGCAGCTGAAGTAATATGATACTAGACTGTAGATCAATTAAGGAGATATCAGTCTATCAGGAAGCTGAACCTCTCCTCAGTCTTATCACAGCTTCTCTAAATCAGGAATAGCTATCAACCATGTCGTGTTAAATCACTATCAACAGATTGCAGTGGGCTAAAAAAATAACTGTGGTCTAGACTCAAGTATTTTTTTATCTTAACACTTTGGGCACGTTTTCAAAATTCTTATATCCTCTGTAATATAAAATATTTATATCAAGCATTTTGAAGAGATGAAATATGTAAGCTAGTTTATGTCATGCCTTTTAGAAGTGTCTACTAGATATTCAAAGCATTTTATCTTAAAACTGAAATGCAGTCTTAAAATAATTATTTTCAGGTATCTATGGCACTTCTAGTGTGCTTAAGGTTAATCACCATACACAAACTCACAAGTGTTAAATCTATCACTTAGCCTATTCAGGCCTCTAAAATGCAGATGTCAAAAGTCAGCTATGCAAGGCGTTTCATTGGCCGACAGGGCTTGGCTGAGTTACACTTGGCAGTGCCTAGTAACAAAGGGTTGAAGTGACATGTTGACATGGGGGATAATGCCTGTATTTAGCTCGCATTAACACTGGTTAAACATTCGCTAGGGATGACATCATACTCAAGCTGTACAATTAAAAGTAAATTATTACTTTTCAAGTAAAACATGGCATATTGTACAATCAGCTATAAATTTTATGAGTAATCTTTTATATTTTCCTCTAGTAAAACAGTTCAGACCAGGTTGACAGAAGTCTAAAATAAATAGAGTCTGGTTACAAGTGCTGAAGACAAAAGGTGGCTACAGTTGAGCCATAAGTTACTTCTGAATGTAAACCATAATGGCAGGCACAAAGCTACGTTGTGTTGCCATAGTAACGTGACACCTGTAAGGTGTACAATGGGCGGGTACACCTGGTTGCCTAGGTAACACCGATAGGTGACCGTTGGATTCTAGTTGAGGTTGAATAGCAACCACGGCAAACGTAAAATCAAACACATTTAAAAGGGAAAGGAGATCGGCAACACCAAATAGGTTACTGACCCCGCCCCCATTTCACACCTACATTCAAATCTTTTACTTATGTACTTAACAGTCAGCTAGTCTTCAGCAGACGACAAAAAAAGAAAACTTACAAAAGAAAAATTCCATAACGGTAAACGACTTGCGAAGTCATACAGCTTGACTTAAATATCGTTTTAAAACCAGGTAGATCTGAAATTTATTTCTGTCGATTTGCTAAGTAACGGGTCCGTATTACTGACAACACGGGTTTATAAAGAATCTACGACCTCACCTCTTTGTGCCTACCCTCCGAGAAATTGGGAACGCACTCGACGATGCGAGACATCCTTGAGCGAGTGGATTGTGCGGTGTAACAGTCCAGTGAACGGTTCTCAAACCGTGCGATTTGTGCAGAGAGCCGGTCAGACAGTCACAGGCTAGTCACGTCTCCTTACTTTCACACCCGCTTGTGTACACGTCATCATATCATGGGTACAACACTTCAATGGGGCATAATTACCGAAAAATAGCAGCAATTTCATATATTAACATAGAAAAACATAGAATTTTATTAAAGCTATTGATTGCCTCTAGCCTCATCAGTTTTTGTGGGAGTAAATATTGTAAACTTGGCGTGTATAATAATTGCAATAAATCAGACTGTACCACACATAAAAGGGGTGTTCAGTAAATAGAACAGGCCATAATCCTTCAAAAGTTAACAACTCAAACTACAAAGTGAAATGACTTATTATAATATAAAGTGAATCTTTTGTTTTGTGGCAAATGTATGCTTCCAATGTCATAATGAATATTTATTACGTGTAACTTAAAGTGACTTCTGTATCTCACGTTGGTATCGTCCTACGTCATCAGTTCATGTGTTTCCGTGACGTTACGGCACGCGAATGTATTTTCCTGAGGCTGTGTACGCTGTGGCCGGAATTTTAACTCGGTGCGGAATCTTTTACCAACCTTTACCGGCTTTACTTCCTCTTTGGTGGATCGACACAGACCTTCCCATCTTCGGTAAGTCTTCAGTACGAACGTTTCACCACGCTTAGGTGTTGTTCCGGCGCTGGGACTGTTTTGAAACGGAGTTTTCCGGTAGCGGTTTTTGTTCGAACCAACATGGCCATGGAACAGGGATCGTAGCGCGTCGTCTCTCGCCAAGGAAGTCAGACGGCCACCGGAAGACGTTTCAGCCGAAACCATGTGCTTCTTCCTCACGCTCAGACCAATATACGATTACTTAAAGATGAACTAAGACGCTCTACGTTTTTGGTAGAATTTCTAGAGCGTCATTTTAATGTGATTTTAATGAAACTAGAGGGCGGGGCTTTAAGATTATTATGAAGCCAGCCGCTCCGATCAAACGTAAACATACAGTGTGTGGGGATGTCCTTGAAGTATAATGTGCGCCGTAGACTGACATAGACTGTTGATTTTGCTTTCCCGTGGGATACACACCACAAGGCTTTTGGCAGGACTTGTGGTTGTAAAACGGATATAGTAAGAATGTTTAATCATTTTTGTGGGTCTGTGTCTTATGGCTTGGTGTTATCAAAATCAGAAGAACAGAACATATTTTACTTGCAGTAGAATTTGTAAAAGTGTCTTGGATACTTCCTCAGGAAGAAACTAATTTTTAAAGGAATAATTATCAACAGAATTTAGCAACTAGTACTTTACATGTTTTTTTAGTATAAAAATTAATTTAAAATATTCTTACATATGGTTATGAACCATATTTGTTTCAATATGGAAAGAAATATACTGGACTTCATATACCTAAGCATGGAGGTAACTTTTTTACCTCCATGACCTAAGTAACTCAATGAAACACAGAACAGTTACATAGTGAACAGGATCTTGGGTCTGGTAACTACTGTATTAGTGTCTTTAGTGAGTCAACTTACCAGTTGTGACACAAGTTGGGCACCAGCATGAGTGTTAGGGATTATCAGAAGACCACGTGTGCCTTTCTGTGACTCCGACAGGTGCTGATGTATTATCTGTGAACTGGCCACTGAGTCAGGAATGTCAATGTTGACGTAGCGGCACAGACAGTTGTCTTTGTGCATTATGTGCTAACTCCTGATATGTCACCTACTCAAGCCTCCCCTCTTGTAACAGTCTTTCTCTACCGGGGCTCAAAATACTGAGTACATATATGCACCTTAGTTCAGGTAAAGTTGGAGCTGAGAAGATATTTCTGATGTCTACCTGCACTGGTCCATGTCCTGTGTTTACATACAAATGCAGGCGTACGTGGACTTTTATCTGCTCCATTGACTGTCGCCACCTATGACATATAAAAGAAATAATGGCAATGATCCCTGAACAGTTTTTAGGGTGATCCATACTTCTCAAAATCTGAGTGGTGCAGGTAAAACTTGTCTGGTGCAGGTAATTTTCAATGTTACCTGCACCAGTACAGGTTTGCAGAAAAAAGTATTTCAAGCCCTGTCTACTGTCAATTGCATCCATTCTAAATTGTACAATACAGGCCTATTACAGGCCTATTACAGGGTTAATTGCAGTTCAAAGGGAAAGAACGAGCTGGCAAAGGAGTGTTTGTTATCTACCCACGTTCCTTCTAAGGTTCAAATCTTCAAATTCTAACCACTTCAGAAGTGGTGTGCTATGGCCTTCCCCAGACAAAAACTATAATTATTTTCCTAATAATAATATGTCTTCCTAGTTTATAGATAAGTTGTGATTTTAAATCTAAAAAAAAGTTACCATTTTTATTGCCTGATGGGAACTGCCTACGTAAACATTAGAGTGATCAATCCTAAATGAGTACTAGTCCTTGTTTCAAAAGATATCAACAAAAGGCTTACGTTCCAATCAATAGTCAATTACCTGGAGGACCACCATTCCATTGTTCAGTTGTTTTTGTCATAATTACTTCCACACCACCGGTTGATGGCTCTTTCTTTGTTTTGCTGCTAACTTTAGTATCACTAATTCGGTAGGGAAAAGTTCAGGGCTAGATAAGTCTAAAAGATAACACTGAAATCCAATATGACATTATACCAGACTTAAGCCTAAAGGTTAGATCTTGGTATGTAAGAGCTTGATAATATTTATGCTTGCAAACATGGTAACTGTAATACTTAACTTAAGAACAAGAGCAGTTGCCTAATTTTAGATCTACTGTCGCTACTGCATTTCAGATCCTCAGTCTTTGTACATTCATAGAATGCCACACTACATTTGCCAGTTTGATCCTTTATTATCTATTGATTACAGTAGGCCAGAACACAACCTTTCAAAGTACAACATTGACTTATTTTAAATGCTGTACTAAAAAAAAAGTAAAAACACTTTAATCTAAAGCTTTGAAGAACTTACCAAAAACTCTTGACCTATACTCAAATGGGCTCAAGCCCTCTTACTTCATTCCCACTGACCACTTACACCTCTTGCTGCGAGACATTTTGTCTGTGGCAAAACAAGAATCGCCCAAAACAGGTTTAGACTGGCTTCTCTTGTTTTGACGGATCCTTTTAATGTTGATTATTATTGAAATGAAGACAAAAAGTGTCAAACATTTCGATATTAAATGCCCCCAGGCTCATAATGGTATATCCCAGGTGTGGTTCTTTTGTTACCTACATGTAGGCTACATATTGTAGGTCATATTTTATATAAAGGTATCAGATACAGAATTAAGATGAACAAATTACCTGTGTTGATAAAATATATTGCAGCCATACATTACAGTTTCTTTTTCTGAATCTATAATCATATTTTTCATATCAATCTGATACAGAACATTTTAAATCTTTAGTCTGGTAGCCCCAGAAGAGCTTACTCTGAAGTATGTTATCTGAATCAAATCTTGTGGTCCTCTCTTGTTTTTATAAGTTAAAAGTACTGGCTGCCAACATTCTTCAAGACTACTTCAAGGGTAGAACTCTCCTTAGGCTACATTGCTGCCTTGCCAAATGGAAGATTGAACACTTGAGTAAACCTTGGCCTCTTGATTTGCCAACGGGCAACATGTATGTTTTTGTATGCACAGATGTACTTTCACTGTTTTCAGATACTAACAGCAAAACCAGGATGCTTTTTTTTACAATCATAGTGTATGAAACAGTATCATGTTTGTTTTTTATGCTACACGTATAATATATTATATAGGTACAAGTCTGATATATATAGATATTGTACATTATGTAGATGATCCAGCTTTGTAAGGCTACTAGTAACAGGGGTAGGTTGTATTTTAGTGTACAATATATTGATACATCAATGGTTAACTGTTGCCTCAATGTAGGGAAGGATTGTTGAGTTATTGTAGACATTTGTGCACCTGTTTATAATTTATACTGTTTTTTCCCTCTATTCTATTGACCTTGACATTATAGTTGTTCCATCTATTCTGATTATAGAGCATTGAGGGCAATAAGCTTAATTGAAACAAAGCAATTACTGCAAAATACCCCTAACCTTTAGAACAATTAATTATACTTAAATGTAGCACAATCTCAATATATATTATGATGTTCTGATACACACCTACTAGTACAGATGACCTACCGGTAACCTTTTGTATTTAGGACTAAATCTAGAATGAACCACATTAGGACTTAATCTAGAATGCTATTAATACACAACATCAAAATGATGCCAAAACAACAAAGAAGAACTACAAGAATTATTTACCTTCTAAAAAAAGTCCAGTTTGGTGCCAGCTGTTGTTAAAAGCCATGCCCGTGCTCCAAGTTTGAAACCCCATTCCTGTTTAGGGTACTCTACTTCCATACCATCTGTGCTGGGGTCATTAGCCGCTAGCATGATTCAGGTTCCAATTTGTGTGCCATGGTAACATACTTCCATGGATAAAGCACTCATGCTGCTGAGGGGTTACAAAGGTTGGGCCACATGTGGCCTGGTCTGTAAAAATATCAACAACTCACAATCGTGCAGGAAAGGTGGAGAAAGCAACTGTTACGCAATTTCAGGGTGGCAAAACAAAAGATATTCTAGATGAGAAAATCTGTCTGATGTGAACATTCACATTTCAGCGGTCATGTCATACTCTGTTTGAAATACTGATACGTGATAGCCCCAAAACAAGCTATGTTACTATTGTTAGTTGACTCTTTATTTTTTGGGTACTGCCCAGAAATAGCTAGAACCAGCCTATGATACAAAACAAACAACCGTTTTCCGTCAATGACATTGCATGTTTACCACACAGATGTCAGTATGCAATGGGACAGGATTGATTAAATTTACTGTCCTACACTGTAAGAATGACAAAAAAAATTGGCTTCGAAAATCCAGTTTTACCACATTTGGTGACTTTATTTTTTATCTTTAACGAGATGGTATCAAATCCCTGTCAGTTTTTTTTGGTGAACGCTGTCATGACTGTAAAAGTGTAAGATCTTTGTCACCCAGCTGGCATCTTCCCATTGTGTATGGTCCCAGCCAGTAGTACAATAGATATTCCAACCATGATTTTCTGTAAATGATATGTACATGTTGTCATCACTCCAGCTGTCCTTTGCATAATGACTACACCTTTTGTAGCGTACTGTCTGTTAGAAGACCACGTCATCTGGGATTACAGAAATATTTGCTTTGAAAGGTGAAGCGGAAGTAACAATTATTGTCTTATTTTTAAGACCAGCTGGTATGAGTTGATAATCCAGTACCTGGAGTAAGTTTATCTACCAAACTGAGGTCTGTATCAATTCTTTTGAACCAGGTAGACTTTGTCTTGTAGTTGTATTCCAGATTGTTAGTAGGTTCTAACAAGCCAAAAGACACAACTGAAATGAATAGTATCATATGGAAAGGTGAAGTTTGCCTGCACATGCAAATCTAAATGTTCTGTATTTCATGAAACCAAGGTGTCGGCAGGTGTGGCAGGTGTTCAAGGTGGTGGCAGGTGCAGAAAAAAGAAAGTCGGTGAATTATTTGTTAACAAAATGATAAGTTTGTGTTACAGAAGGTACCGTGAAAAAAAATCAGAAATTCCAGAATGTTATGTCATTGTTTTGACCTATGACCCTTGTCCCCACCCTTAGGTGACCTGTAGGAGACAGTAGGACCATGGTACGTCCTGTCAAGCGGAGGTCGGCCGACCCGCAGGTGGTCAAACAGCTGTGGAACGCCATCGGCCACATCCGCGAGCAGAAGCAGATCGCCAACATCGAGCGCATCACCAAGTACATGGGGCGCGAGTACGAGATCTCCAACCGCGAGACCGTGAAACAGCTGGGCCACGCCGTGAAGGACGGGCTCGTGATTGAGACGGTGACCCTCGGGGTCAAGGGCGCCAAGGCCGGGGTGGAGCAGGAGGGGTACTGGCTGGTCGGGGACGATCCGGTAAGTAGCAAGGCAAGGAACTTACAATAGGGAAGAATAATTACTGTACTAGTAGGGGAATGCTCAAACAAGTATACGGTTATAACAGTTTGTCATTGTTACATTCATGAATCCAACAAAACAGGTAGAATAAACAGGTAGATTTAGTATGATGACACTGGATTATATGTTGTTAAATATTGCGAAACTAGCAACAGGAGGAGTTATACTACATACAGGTTTGGTGCCATTGTGTAGACATATGCATGTAGTTTGGGATAATAGATTTTGGCAGATTAACCAGCTATAGCAACCACTGAGGAACAAGAGTTGATAGAAATTGTAATGTGCATATTTATTTGCCGACTTGTTTGTGTTTTTCATTTCTGCTGGGTAGACATGAATTATAATTACATGAGGCAACAAGAAACAACAAGAAAAAAAGGATTCAACACACCTAGCATCTAGAAACTAGACGGGCATACTATGCCATCCAATGGAGGACTTATACGTTTGGGAAAATCTGCAGTTGAGGTTGTCTGTTTGCCCTTGATTTTAACTGTTTGCAGTGTGCAAAATGATTGCTTCTTGGACAAATGCCAATGTTGGAGCCTAATGGAAAGTTAGTGAAGTGATTTTATGCTAATGAAACAGAATAAGTGTTGTCTACTATTAATGCTTCTGATCAGTCATTGGGGATCAACCATAAAGGAACCACAGGGAGGATGCCTAAAACATTTTCCTAGTTTTCTGGACGGAAGCAAATCCTTGCTATTTAGTTGTAATATGACAGCAAGGTTTGATGTTGTTTTTCTTTAGTTGAACTTAAAGTTGTGCTTTCAATTTAGGGTGTGTTGACACACCCTAAATTGACACACCCTAAATATGCTGGAGGTAACCCCTTCAGCATATCATTGTTGTCCTTCAGGATATACAGGTAGTTTATCAAAGAAGGTGAAAGGCAATGTGACATCTGTAGTTGAACTTGTAGTCTGCAGTAGAAGCTATCACACACATGGTTGTACAGTTGTTTTGAGTATACCACAAATCACTGTCACATACCACACCAGGAATGTTGTTAGTGTGAAGTTTGGTTTCTCCAGCTGTACATTTCTTATCTTCATTGGAAGCTTGTGTTCTTTATTACTTCGCTTTATTACTTTGTTTGGCCTGTGTGCTGTGGAAATTTGGAGATCTTGATAGAGCTTGTGTACTGTAAATCACTTCATATTCGTGGTAGCAAACTTTCGCCATCAGAGAAAAATGAACAAGTTCGCAGAACTATATGTTCGCAGTGGTGGCAGGTGCAAAAGAAAGAAAGTCAGCGAATAATTTGTTCACAGTAATAATAAACTCAGAAGTGACCATGAAAACCGCAAATGTAAAAGTGCCGCAAATATAGAGTGATTTACAGTATGTAAATACATTGTGTTAAAGCATTGTGTTAAAACATCATATTTTCCCTTGGGAAGTTTGAAAAAAGTGGATCTCTCACCTTTCTTTTGGATTTCATCACAACCCAATATCATCACTTTTGTATATCTAAACTCAGGATAGATCTACACAAAATTAATGATTTTAGGTTGTGATAAGTTCTTGGATTCTTAGACTGTTATCGTGATCTTCTGACTTGAGGTTGAGTATGGTTCAAGCCAAGTCCCTTTTCTATACCAGCTTTCTTGCACCACTGATGAATTATTCATGGATTTGACCTTGATTCTGCCTTGCCTGTTGGCCGAAACCCTGATGTGACATCTGGACATTCCATCCAACTCTCTTTCCTTCTGCTCAAAGTCATTGTTTCAGCTCATAGTTATTTCAAGTTAAGTATACCTGGGATCACTCTCAATGATATATGATGTCAAAAATCCTGTTGGATAACATACAAGTGGTCAATGATTGTTCCATAGTACTGTTGTATAGTATGGAGAAAATTAGAGCTGCAAGCTTTGAGCTATGATTGAATAGTCCATTGCCCTCCCAAGATGTTAATATCCTTACACACTAGTCAGTTTTTATTTGAAATCGGTTGAGTTATATAGTCAGATTATGTAAATTCCTTGAAATACATGAAAACATTGGCTATAAACTGGTTGCATTTGTAAATGTATGGTATAAAATATAAAAGTGGCAAAAACTTTTTGGATTTCTGCCCCCATTTCTAAGCTCCCTTTTGAATTAGCAATCCTAACTGTAGTAACACAACATGTAACTAGACTTATATGACTTTGTGATGTACGTATACAGGGTTTAAAATTCATGTTGAAATTCTTCCAGACATTTTCCCTGAAACATGCTAGACACAAAGTCGACATTCTACTTAGCGGGAAAAATGCTAGCTCTCATTCAATATTTAGTGATATCTTAAAAAATGTATGAGCTACATCATTGCGGATGATTGTCATAGATACAAATTATATTTCTTGTCTAAAAAGAAGTGCTTTGCGCTTGCATGTCCATTTTTGATAGATGCTCTGTGCATGGGACAAGTTTTTAGCACATACAGTAGTTGATTTTTCAATCCTTTAAGCCATAGATATGTTTTGTGTATAATGACTACCCTCTTGTTGGAAGAGCTACTTAAAATTCCCTTCTTTTGAACCAGCGATTTATCATGATTAATATTAATGATAAAGCCACTCTATGCCATTGGTCCTCTGGCAGTTCAAATAATGTTGCTCATTTTGTCTACATGTATACTTCAGTGACAACTTTTTGTGCAAGACAATGAACATACAACTTTTTCAAAAGACTTGATGTAGATTGGCTTGGATAACAATAATTGAACTTAAGGTATTTCGCATGTTGATTCTCTTCCCATACTAAGTCATCCGAAATGCCTGTCAAGAAATTACAGCATCTCAAGATCTTGCAAAAAAAAACTTGACTCAACGAGAGGGTAGTGTTCATATAGGAGGAGTCTGTTTTCTTGCTGTGTGGGATTTATTAATGCTGTGTCTGCCTTGCTGTAGATAGTGCCTCTGGATCCAGGAGGCACAGATCACACAGTAAGTGTCACAGTTCCACAACTGTAGTTATCTCACATGTTCACTGGAACACAGTTTCACTCATGGGTACCATTGTCTGATACCAGTGTATGAAAAAACTTGTGGTTGAACTGGTATATTTTACCTTTGATTATACTAAAGAGAAGAAAAACATTGAAAAAATAAAGAAAAAGAAAAGAAAAGATGAAAAGAATGAATGAATGAATAGAAGAAAGATGGAAAAATTAATAAAGCAGAAAAGACAAAGACATACAAGAAAGGAAGAGAGAAGGAGAGAGAAAGAAGGAAGGAAGATGGAAAAAAAGAAAAGATGATGACCACTCCAGAATATCTCAGTCGAAGGAATTTTTTTCTTTCTCTGAACTGGTATCAGACAATTCAGCTCACCCCATGTATTGGAGCATTCTGTTCAACTTTTGTGGGGAAAAGTAAGATCTCTAGGAAAATACTATTAGTTACCACTTTCTAAAAGATGCCTGTGGGTTCTGTTCATATCATATCACTCATCATATTTTCAACTAACCTGCCCACACTAATTCTGGTTATGTGGTTGTTATTATCACTTAGAATTTTGGTTTTTGATGGTTGGTGTTATGGATTTTTAACTGATGCATGCATCACGAGTCTAGTATGACGCCGAGGAAGGTGACTGTTGGATAAGATTTTATGGAGCTTTGACAGACGTTTTAAGATTGTGGTATAACATGGTGTTAAAAAATCTGTTCGGTTGAAGTTGAGTCTGAGATATCTGTTAGAAATGCAAATCAACAAAACACTTAAAATATACAAATGTAGTTTGTAACACTTGTTAGATTGTGGTGAGGATTTCTTTGTTTGAAGATTGTTAAAGAATGTTTTTGTGTTTTTTTTTTATCAAAGTCTTTCAAGTCATCATGCTTTTCATTGCCATTGAAGGTATGATTTTGATACATGATTATTGCTACATGATTCATGAATACAGAGAATGTGTACTTTAACTCTTCATCTGTTACTGTATTTTGTTGACTTCATCTTTGAGCTAATACCTGCAGGGCTCGAAATACATTTTTCTGCATACCTGTACTGGTGCAGGCAATGTTGAAAATAAACTGTACCAGACAAGTTTTACCTGCACCACTCAGACTTTGAGAAGTATGGATCATACTTAAAAATGTTCAGAAACCATTGCCATTATTTTTATACCAACATACAGCAGGTATAAACCCAGTACATGGACAAGTGCTAGTTGTGCAGGTAGACATCAGAAATACCTGCACAGCTCCAATTTTACCTTTACTAAGTGCATATGCACCCTGTATTTCGAGCCCTGGCCTACCACGTTGTCATGAACTTTTCTGTCCTCAATTATGTACCCATGTCATCTAGCTGCTACACAGGTTGTAAGGAAGGAAACTGAACCTTTTTATAGACAGTTGATAAATATTATGGTAGTACAAACAGAGAAAATTGGAAATTTACGGATAAAAAGAAACATGTATACATGTAGCTTCTGCAGTTGTGTTCCATGCATATATCTGTATTAATTCAACTTAAGCATGCGGTGATCCTATGCTGTGCATACTACAATTCTCTTATTACTATATTACTACAAAAACTAAGGTATACATACCTATAATCGCTCAAAACTGATGTCATTTAACAGGGCTCGAAATCCTTTTTTCTGTAACATTGCAACTTACCTGCACCAGACAAATTTTACCTGCACCACTCAGACTATGAAAAGTATGGATCATACTAAAAACTGTTCAGGAACCACTGCCATTGTTTGCTTTCTACATTTTATAGATGCCTAATGGTGACAATGAATGCAGCAAATAAGAAGTCACATACACCAACATTTGTATAGTATAATAAACCAGCACATGAACCAGTGCACCTTAGTTGCAGGTACAATATGTAGACATCTGAAATACATATACCTGCACAGCTCCAATTTTACCTTCACTAAGGTGTATGTGCACCCATTATTTCGAGCCCTGCATCTAAGCTTCCTGTTGTTTCCTCGTAGGTATATAAGAATGTATAGTACTGCTTGTATCTATAAATACTGTTCTCTAATTCTAACAGAACTGCTAATTATAAGAGACCGACACTAACTACTAACTATGTAGCAGTGCATGTACCGTACGGTAGTACTGTATGTTATTGAGAAGTGCTGTTATTGTTGCAGGAGGGAGAGGACCATGACTGGTACTGTTTTGAGTGCCACCAGCCGGGGGAGGTTGTCCTGTGTAGCGGGTGTCAGCGGGTCTACCACAGCAAGTGTCTGCCTGAGGAATGTAAACCTCGCGACTCTGCTACCCAGTGGTACTGTCCTGTCTGTCAGGTATGCAAAGTAGATCATATAATAATACATGTAATATACATAAAGTCATCAACTCATTTTTATTATACATTATGTCTTTTGCATGTCTGTCATGAGTGGCAAAATTCTGTGAAATGACAGAAAGACGGATGCTGGCTACAACCCTACAGGAGGTTACAATTGTTTGGCAATAAACTTGAACATTATAACTTTGACGAACCTGCACAGAAGTTCTAAATCTTTCGAACAAAAAGTAGATCCAATTTTATGTTATTGGCTTTTGTAATACACTAAGGTTTTGGGGAATGAAACTGAACAAGTTGTTTGTTCTGTTGCAGGCAATGCAGCGTAAGACCCAGCCCATCAAGAAGAAGGAGTTGAACAGGATGCTCGTGTTTGTGGTCTACAGAATGAAAGAAAAGGTAAAAAAAAATGAAAGTCTACTATCTTTCTTAGTAATCAAAAGAAGAAAGACTCAATAATCTACAGTAATAAGAGAAAGCAAGCACATAAACTTTCAAATGCACATGCCTTAGCTTTTGGCAAGTGAGATTGGAAATCTAATGTAAGAGTCAGAAAGATACTTTGTGTTGTGCAGGAGAGATTGATAGGTCTTCCTCTCCTTTCCCCAGCAATCCCGTGAGCTGTCCAGAAAAGTCAGTCTGCAGGACCACCCAAACTTCCCTCGCCTGGTCCACACACACATGGACCTGTCCATCATGCAACAGGTAACAAGTTAACTGTTCCAACCGACTTGTCTCATATCTTTAAAAAATTCCCAATAGAGCCATGTAACAATTTTTTCTTTGTACGTTAGTGTTCATTGTGTGCAACTCTATGATAGATACTAACTTTAAACTTCTACCTGCTAACCTGTACCAAGTAGAGAACTGATAACCAAATGGCTAAAGGTTAGATAGCAGCTAAAGGTTAGAAGTGTGCTAAAGGTTAGATAGCAGCGCACTTCGTTGCTATGAATTCATTGTCAACTCCCTATCTTAGGTAACTTTTGCCTCCTTGGTAGGCTCTATGACTGGGGCCAGTAGAAGAAATTGGGTACTAAAGAAGTGAATAGCCCTAAGAGAAACAGTGCTTGAATTCTAAAAGCCCTTCTCCCCCCAAAAAAACGCATTACTTCATATCCCTCAGCTATAGAGCCTGTCAAGGAGGCTTGGTAAGTTTCTGCTAATGATTACTGAACTTTGAAGTAGAACATCTAACTAAAAGCTAAAACTCCTCTTACAGAGGGCCGAGGAGTGCAAGTTCAAGTGTCCGGAGGAGTTTGAGGCAGCGACTCGACAGATCCTCCACAATAACCTGATCTACTACGGAGAAGAGAGTGAGTTTACAGAGCTGGCCAGAGTAGTGCTGGCTGACTGCAGACATGACGTGAGTTAAACATTTCACTAGTTTTAATTACCATGATTATTTTATTGATTAGCACCTATATAATGAGAAATTTACATAAAAATTTCAACTTACAATTCATTATGTAGATCAGGGTATTGTAACTCGTTTTCTCATTTAAATTGATGTGTACTAGCGATGCCTGGTGAAATGATAATGAAAGAATTAGACTAAAAGTTGTTATCTTCTTGCCAGAACTTTATGGCATTGTGACAGAAGAATTTTAAAATCAATCCGTCACCCTTAAGCCTTGATGGACAAAATCAACAAAAATCTTAAATCGGTAAAAATATAAAAAGATCCAAAGGACCAGCAATAAGCACTCTCAGCCTCATGATTTGCCTCTGTAAAAGCCCTGCTTCTTGCTTATTTTTATTTTTTACCTTGCTTATTGTTCCCACAGCTGCGAGAGATCCAACTGTGTAAGGACTGTTACATGATGTCCAACTCCAGAAACCTGAAGGACTGGTTCATCAGACCTTGTGTAAGTGGACATTTAAGGTAGTGTTCAATGGTGCCTGAGGACTTTGGGGATATCTTAAAAATAGTAGTTAGAATTACTTTTGGTCATTGAATTTTTTCATATAAGTACCTTATTGCAAGACAATAATTTATGCAAATTTTTATGACGTCACGATGACGTAATCTGGAGTTATGAGCCACGCCCCCTTTTTAGAAAAATCAATTTTCCTGGCCAGTGCTTTGGTTTTCATTGACCATATTTTGTAGAGAGGCGCACTATAGTAATAGCAAAAAACGTACGTCAGGATTTTTTTCTATCTTTAAATGTTGATTTTTAATGAATTTTTTCGTAAATTTTAACAGTGCCATACGCCAGCGGCCCTCCCCAGCACATAAAGCGGCGCAGCGTGTCGGCCTGACGTACGTTTTTAGTTTAGAAGCTTATGTTTAAAAGAAAACAATTTTTGGTCCCTTTTCATTAGCAGTTTTGCCACAGTTTTGATCTAAAAATGCTGTATATGCTGTATGGGTTACATAAATGTCCATTTTGGAGCCAAAAAGAGCCGAAATCGCCAGGTTCTGGTCCGCATTCCAAAGGCCCCGATAACTTCCGGTAAAATGCGGGTCATTGACCCTTCAGCACGCTGTATTTACCATACTGAGCCGCGATTTAGAAAAACAGGCCGGGGATACGAACAGTAAAAAGAACAGCCCAAGCATCCCCATTCTTTAAGCGTGGGGGAGTCACGTGACCAAACCAAAATGGCGGACGACGACGTGGATGACGCGAAGGACGCTGTGCGGTTTGCGGCAACATTTGGGCCGCTAGACAATCTTTTAAACGGCTATACCCTACGTAGTTTTGCAGGTGGACTTTCATGGACTATTCTGAGACCTTTCTGGAGAAAAACCGTCCGCGTTTTGTGGAGTTACGGACTTGTTTTTGATGCCTACCCCCGAAGTTCTTTGTTGTGTGATTTGGCACGGAAACAGCGGCATACGCGGCAACAAGACTGAAAGAGTAGATAGCCCTGGAGAAAAGCCTGCCCGTACGTGGTATGAGATTACTAGCGAATATAATTTTGTTGATTATGTGAATTTCTGTTGAATGTTGTCCTAGTAGACGTGTGCTTACAGTACAGTCAAACCTGTACTAGCGGTCACCTTGGCATTGCGGTCACCCGGCCATAGCGGTCGGTTTTTGCCGGTCCCTTGAATTTTTCCCATTGACGTAAGCATTAAGAATCGCGTATATAGCGGTCACTGTTCAACGCGGTCAGCGGTCACCCCATTCCGGTCCCGCCGGCTGTCAACACCGCCGATAGCGGTCACGGCTGGCCGGCCGTTACCCGCTAAGCACCACGTACGTAACACCACCCGACCTCGGTCTACGGCCGTTAGGACGTTCAATCAAGCCTTGTGATAATTTTGTGGCCGCTACATTATTAAAATGTGAACTGAAATTAGACTCCAGATGTGTATGAAATAAAGGAAAACTTGATTTTGACACGAAATTTTTGCGGTCGCTCGTGTTGACGTCTTTGATATCTGAAACACCATGCCGTGCGTGCCGCGGTGCTTTCAGTGGACTCGGCGAAGATTGCGGCAATCATCCTTACAAAAACTTACGAATATCCATATTTGATTTTTGGATTCCTTGAAAAGCATAAATATGTGGCCAACTTCCCTTTTTCACGGGCATAATTCAAGAAATTTGGGCTGAGAAAATGCGTTTCGTGATTTTTCAAAATGGCGCAGGCTGCAACAACAATAAGGTCAATTGGGGTCATCGGAAGACTCCATTGGTTTGGAGGTAGATGTACCGACTTTTATTTAATTTTATAGCATCAAATGGCGTGATTACATTACAAAAATATTTGGAATACATTATTAAAATTAATTTCCATCGTAAACTTAAGTCTGTAGTGAATATTCTACAAAATATGTAAGCCTGAAAGGAGCACTATTTTTGTTGACCACCACATTGGCATAATGGCAGAGGCAGACAACCCACGCCGGAAGAAACCCAAGCCGTAAACAAAGGAAAGTTTTCGCTACGTTTTCATGTTCAAAAATGACCAAAAACGGAAAATAAACGGCAACAGATGAACAATTATTTTGCTGTTAACTAAATGGACAGCATCTGTGGTACAAAAAATCTTGTTTACATGGTTGGAATTCGTTGTGGCGATGTCGGTCATGCGAAGCACTCACCAAAGAACAAAAACATGGCGATGTCATTCTCTTCCACTTTTCGACTTACGGTACTAGTAACGTGGCGATTGCGGAGAAACGATGGCAAAGGCGGAAAGACAGACGTCGAACTTATTCCACAAGGTGGATGTGATTCAACTGACAGCGAGTGAGAAGGAATTATCGGTCGAAGGAGCTTAGATTAAAGGAGTTTGCAGTCGGAAGAAACATGGCTTGGAGTCGACAGAAACTTTGTTGCTTGATTCGCTTTCAAGTTTTCTGTAGGTAACATCGATGTTACACGTACACAAGAACAGTAAATGGCAACCAGTGATTTTGTATATTTTAGTGGGAAGGTTTCAGTAGATCAACTGAGTATCATGTCGAGTGCATGCAGTTTTGATACATAATTTTTTTCAAGCCCACAACTAAAGCAAAAGAACAACAATTGTATTATAACATGTAATGTTACATTTGAAAAGAGACTTACCTGTGCAATGAATGTTTTCATATGTTTGAGAATAAAGACATAAATACATCTTTGTTCAATGGTACTGAAAGCATGTGTCACTTGGGGGGGGGGGGTGCGGGGGCAACTAACCGCCATTTCTCTATAGTGGTCACCTGGCCATAGTGGTCAATTTTGGCCAGTCCCTTGAGTGACCACTATAGACAGGTTTGACTGTATATGATTTTTTTTACGTACGGAGTTTTATCTGCAAATATGGACGATCCGTTATAAGCTGCCACCGCTGTAAACCGTAAAGATATGTTCGTCGTTACAGTAAGATTGTGTATGCATTCCGCTCTAAGATAGCTTGAAGTTTGTTTGTATTGTATTTCTTTGAATAAAAAAAAGAACGTTGCAGATTGGAAATCAGTTCTTATGTCATGTTTGTTCAAGTACTAGTATCTTCTTCCTACAACTGCATATAACAGTTACTACCGGTAGTATATTTACAAACATTTTGCAGTCGAAACAAACTCAAACGTTCCTTTTGGCAGTCAAATGTTTTTTCATAGGAAGTTGTTGGCGTAATCCATGCCTTTTTCTTGGTGATTTCTGTGGTATATTTCCAGTTGAAATTATATGTGTTCCGCCGGCATGGCAGGTTTTCGTAAATTCTTTGCAGTTACTTGGTTACTTAGCGGTCTACAAATAACATGATGTACTGTATTTACAAACGCTCTAAGTATCAGGAAAATTGTCTTTTCCTTTCCCAATGGAAAAGGGAAGCTCACACACACTGTGACAGTTCACATTCCTTGCTTCAAGTGGCCCAGCGGACTCGTGCTTTCGCTTCAGAGGGGCCGGGGGGTGTGCACATTATTTGGAAGAGCACTCCATATTTGGAAGAGCACTCCATATATGGGAGCCCGGATGGTAGATGGCGCGTAAAAATTGCGAACTTTGTCGTTCAATTTCGCGGTCAAAATGTGGCCCTGGCAAAAAAAATGTTATAGATTATAAAAATAGACCAAAAAGTCTACCATGTCAGATAGAGTTTTTTTTCTATACTAGTATTTCCAAAAAGTCCTCAGGCACCCTTCAATATGACCTTAAGAACTTTGTGTAGTCATAAATGTGCCAAAACAGTCATTTCTTGCTGACAAATCATTCTTGCTAAAAAGTTGCCAACCCGCTGGCAGAGTTACACTCTGTTGTGTAGTATTATGGCCTTATTTTCATGTTACGACATCAATGGTAGAAAAAAATGACCTCTACATCTTGTTGACCTTGTGCCCCCCTCCCCCTCAGGACCCTCCCCATGCCCTTGTGTGGGCGAAGATGAAGGGCTTTGGTTGGTGGCCAGCTAAAGTGCTACAGGACAAGGACGGCCAATCAGACGTCAGGTTCTTTGGAAGACTTCACCAGAGGTGAGAAATGGTGATATATCAAATATTGTATGGATTTGTGGTTCATATTCACTGTTAATTAATGGTGACTTGCCACAAAGACAAGGCAGACAGGTAGTTAGATGTGTACAGTCAAACCTGCCCAAGGTGACCACCCAGGGGACCGGTCACCCTGCACAGGTGGTCTCCTTGAAGAAGGTTGACTCACAACACGAATGAGACATAATTGTTTCAACTACGGGTGTTTTTATTACAAATACTGTAAGTACCTTAGATTCATGGGCCTTTAAATTAAGACGGGTCAAAGTTTCGGGCAAATGACAAATTTACAATGTTCTCAAATTCAGGATTGATCAAATGTATAATGCAAAACAATTTCTGTTACTCTCAGTGATCAAAAAAAGAAAGTGTTTGAGGCACTGAAGCACTTTGACAGACTTGATTGTTTTAGCCTGAATTGCTTTATTGATTTCTTACAGAGCCTGGATCCCAGAGGACTGTATCAAGCCCATCGACATCAACATTCAGCAGCTGCAGAAGAAGCGAACAGCGGCTTGGAAGCGAGCGTATGATGAAGTACAGGAACACCAGGTACAGAAACTGTCAATCTAACTGTTATGATATCAAATTTATTGTGGGCAAAAGACATATGGATGCACTCCTCTACTTATTTTATGGGCACAAGCTGCCCTGGTTTCAGTGTTTAAACTCTGTGAAAGAAATGTTCTCCTTCCCATCTAGACAAACAATTGCACACTGCTGTCAAAGCAATGTTATTGTCTTAGCTGCAGTTCCCAAAATGACCAACAGGAGGCACTGCTTGACAGTAATTTTGCCAGCGCCTTTGCTTGTTACACTGGTGGCAGCAGTGAGGTTACCAATGAGTCTAAGGAAGGGCTGTCAAGTGTCAACATCGTGTTAGCTGCAGTTCCCAAAGTGACCAACAGGGGGCATTGCATGGCAGTAATTTTGCCATCGCCTTTGCTTGTTACACTGGTGGCAGCAGCGGGATCACCAATGAGTCTCCTTTACCCTCCAGGCCAGGCTAGAACACGTCCAGACCAACCCCCTGTCGGTGTCGTCCGAGTCGCAGGGCTCCTCCAACAGTGAGGGGGAGGATGAGGAGGAGGAGGAGGAGGAGACCATGCAGGATGCAGACGACAGCGGGGATGAAGTGTCTGAACCGGAGGAGCCCATCTCCAGCACATCCAACGGGGACCAACAGGTAAGGAGTGGAAAAGGACATCGTGAAATCAAAATTTTTAATTACACTAAAATTACTCTGAATTATAATCAAAATTCAACAACAATTAAAATTCAAAACAAGTCATTCGTTCTGCACATCATGTGTTTCAAATGTGACTCTTCAGTCTTCTAAAGGTTAATATGTTCATTTTGTCAGGAGCTTGCTGAAGCAGTGAACCAGGTGAGCTCCACAGGTGAGGTGCTGCAGCCCACGCCCCCGGCTACACCCCAGAAGGCCTCCGTCTCCACAGTCGCCACACAGACACGGAAGTGGGCGTCGGCCGCGGAGGGGAAGGCTCCCAGCACCAAGACCAAGTTCGTCCAGACGACCACGTCCAACGCACCCGCCTGTAACTGTCACGAGAAATACAACAAGATCTTCTCAGACTTCAAGGAGAGAATGGAGGAGAACCACAAGAAGGAGAAGGAACAGATACAACAGGACCTTACAGATAAGGTAGGGGAAGAGGAACATCAGGCTAGCACAGCGACAAGATAAGTTCTGTTTGTTCAAAGCACAAACTCGATTCAACGAAAAATAGGTTTTGCAAGTTCTGTCTTTTTGGTCTTGCAAGACAAGGGGAACAAAATTATTAGCAACCCAAGCAAAACTTTTGATCACAAGGACTAGTAAGTTCTAGTAAGGTGTGAAAGACTTGAACAAAAGCTGCCTGACAAGACAAAATATTGAAACTGAAACTAAACAGAAATACCTGCAGTACTGTAAATAGTTGTCAGGGGGCACTGCTGACCTCTTCCTGCCCTAACTCCAACCCTTGTCCTGCATCTGCAGCTGAAGACTGAACATGAGCAGGACAAGCGAGAGGCCCTGGCCAAGGCAGCTGCGAGTAACAAGTCTGAGGTGGAACAGGCCGTCAAGAAAGCCAAGGAGGAAGTCGAGACGTCCAAGACAGCGGATCGTAAACAGATGGAGGAGGAACACAAGGCTGAGATCTCATTTGTCAAGAGACGTCAGTGGGTGAGTCACATACTGCTTGGTATTAGGTCATTTTTCAAGCAATTTGCTATTTTCCTTTTTTTCCAGTCTTCACTAGAAAACAGCCTGGTAAATGTCAGTTTTACTGTTGTTAACATCCTCAATTATTTCCCTGTATATTAAACTCAGATGAGTTTAGAGCATTCATCTGTACACCAGTGTTACTACAGTTTTTCTTATTCCCTAATTCAGAAATATCCTGCAGTACTGTAAATAGCTGTTAGGTGGCACTGTTGACCTGTTCCTGCTCTTTTCCAGTGTTACAACTGCGAGGCAGAGGCCATGTACCACTGCTGCTGGAACACCAGCTACTGTTCCGTCAAGTGTCAACAGGAACACTGGCACGCAGAGCACAAGAAAACCTGCCGACGCAAGCGCTGAGACGTGCAACCCCTCAGCAGACCAAGTCATCCAGCTTGTTCCTTAGTTTTAAACATCGTTCTTCTACATTGTTGAGAGATATTTTGAATGATTCAATTGTAATCAAGCTTTTGCTAATGCTGGCAGAGTGAATGTTTTGGACCCTGAAGATATTGAACCACTTCTTAATCTTATTGGAGCCAGACGATTTAGTTTTGTTACTGTAAGTTATAACAGTCTTTCATTCTCACAGCAGACTTACTCTTGTTCTTATTCCTTACAGATTACCCTCCATTTGCAAGTACATGTATTTTTACATGTAGAACATACACCTCCTTGACTACACTTTTCCAACTAAATTACTAATACAACACTAGGTGGTGAATAGAACAACATATGCAAACTGTATACTACGCCATCCACAGGTTTGTTTCCTATGGAAATTTCTAATGTAACAGTGAAAAAGTGTGTTACCTTAAATCCTCTCACAAGCTTCTCACTGTATTAGATACCAACCAGTTTCATAGATATACTTGGTGACAAGACTTCAGCTAATTCAGTATGTCCAGTTTGCAGTCTGTAGGTATTCCTGGTGTCTGCATGTTTTTCTAGCTCCTGTAAGGTTCATGTAGCAATTTCACCAAGCTGAAACTTACAAAAGTGTTACTACTGCCAGCACTGGGCTTTATGGCAATGCACTGGCTAAGTACTGTATTATATGACTAGATTTCTTTTCAAAAACATCACAGTTTGAAAGTACAGTAATAACTTGATTCAAATGTTAATAAGAGAACAGAATAGCATTTTGTTGTTTTTTTTTCTTTGTTTGAATATTGCTACTAGTAATGCTGCCCACATTTTGATGCTGCTGGTTGCCAGATATAAAACAGTTGAAACATTATGTTGCCATTATAATACATGCCATGTTAGGATAGATTGCCATGCAGACTTTTTTTGTTACATTGTAAAATATCCATCATAACCAACAACTAGCACTGTTCTACTAGATTTTTTTTCAACATAGGGATTTTGCAATTCTGAAGTTGCTTGCAATGAAATTATAACTTACTGATCTTGTAAATAGAACTAGAGCTTAGTGATATTTATGAAATATTTTTGTTTTGTTGTTTTTATTTTTGTTTTACTTAGGTAGCCCTTTTTGTGTGTAGGAAGAGGTATCTCAAACTAGTACATGTTTGATGCCATTCAGATTTAAAGTACGAAGAATGAATTGAATCTATGATGGAAATATGTGCTAAATATTGGCCAGCGCTCCCTCCAATGGACTTACGCAGCTGTAATGAAAAGAAATGGGTCTTTAATATAAAGTGTAATACATGTACAATATTACCAGCATTGTCGCAGCTTTCTGAGTGATGTAGATTTAAAGTAAAACTGGAGATCCTGCAGTTTGGTACTTCCAGTTATGGTGATGATATTGCATCAGTTACACACTGGATAGGGGAGTTTGCAATAGACTTTGTGTGCAAAATCGTAACACTAGCCAGTAGCCATGATTTCATTGTTTCTGAGTGTGCTGTTTTTATTTTCCTTTTACTTTGTTTTTCGTGGTGTCAGTGTCACAGATAAATTTTGGACATTTTGAATTTCTTATACAGTATGATGTGTATGACTGGATGTATGATGTCAGTATTGTCAAGAAAGGGTTTAAAAACGGAGCAAAACCATTGGACCAAAATACAAAAGGAATGTACGTATATAAAGTAGAAATATTGTGTTTAACATTGGCATTCAGATTCCTACACAGGTAAAACACTTGCTTTTCTGTTTATTTTGGATGCTCAGCTATGTTTTTTAGGCAGAAAAAATTTTTTCATGACACAACTTGGACAAGTCAAGGAGCCTGTCTTCCAGTATTGCATCTTCTACTCATCATTGGAGTAAAAGACCATAGCCTAGATAGGCTAAACCTGTGAGCCACCAACTGTTGTATATATCTATATTATATGGCATATTCCAGGGACGTGCAGGCAGGAACCTACGGAATGTCAGTTACTTCCAGGAAGGAGGTTATATCCTCACTATAAGTGAGGATATATCCTCACTCCTTGCTTCTAGGAAAGGTTGTACATGTACCTTGAAAGACTGCCAAACATGGAATACTTTAATCTTAATACCATTTTTTTTACATGGTGTCTTGAATCTTTCTTGTTCAAAGAAGTTTTTTAATGTTCTTGTCCTGTTAATGAGCACATAGGAAATTTACATGGGCCATCATCTTTTGTAACTTTGGCCTTAGATACCATTCCTTTCTATTGGTTGGTTCTAGCAAGATTTGAACTGTCAAACAGATGTCATTTTGTTCCTTTCCTTGATTTTTTATCCTCGTAAACCATTTGCACATTATAATCTAGGCTACATGTAGATGTGCAACAGGACTGTAAGGCCTAGAGTGAAGTATAGAGCCATCATATCTAAAGGAAATGAGTATATGAAGAAAAAGAACTCATTACACAGTGTTGTGGTCTTTGCATCCTGTATAGGCTTGGTTATGTTTCATCATAATTTGGACAGAATGATTGTTTGAATGCACAGAAAGGACTGCAACAGATGTGAGGAAGGATGACTTACAGTATTGACCTGTTTTTTGGCAAAGAACATCACAGAGAATGACTGTATGTAACTACATGTACTTTTTTGAATCACTGTTTTCACAGATACCCAAGTGTGGAAAGATCTGGACAAAAATTAGTCCCAGTAAATGTAAATATTGATGTAACACATGGGCCGCTTATGTAGTATTGCCTTCATGTGTGTTGTTCGTACGTGTATTTATGCTTTTGCTGTGCATTGTGTAAATGGATAAGAGCTAGTATTTCTTTTTTTTTTCTTTCTGTATAGCCTGGGTGCCTTTGTAAGTAGTTTTCTGTGTACTCCCTTTGTACAAAACTATCTAGGATGGTACCCAGGCTAGTTTGTGTATAGGCTTCCAGTGGAAATACATTGTAGTTCAAAACTTGGTGGTGTAAGATTATGTGAGAACTAAGACTGACAGGGACTCTAAGTCCGTATAAGAGGTACATGAGGATGTGGAAGGATACTTAAGAACTCAGTTTCTACTAAAACATTCACATGGATTCAGACTAATGCATTCCATTTGACTTTGAAATTATTGGCTTGGTGAACTAGGGATCTGTGAAGTTTTGCATTAGAATTTGGGTTGATATGATATAGTCCCTCTGGATTCAATGAAAACCCTTCCACATCCTCATGTTAAAGTGATTATTTCTACAGAAAGTGAAGAAGTCTGTTTGGTAGAGAAGACTTGGTATAAACATTTAAACTATAGTTACAGTGTCTGTCTTGTTTTTATATACATGTACATGTATATCTACTGTAGTTCATTTCATAGATGCATACAAATCAACAATAGTCAGCCATTTTGTTTTTATTCAGTATGATATCTTGATGTAAAATGGTACCATGTTAACCTCTAAAAAGACAACAAGTGCATGATGTAAATATGTTCATCTTGGCATTAATCTATTCATTTCTGACAACTATAAAAAGTTATGAAGTCACCATCAAAGACATCATATGTGACAATGTCAGTTTGGTATGTCTCCATATGTCCCACACATTTTATAATTATAGACTTATACCTCACCTTAATGTATTGTTTATCTTTGAAGAAAAATGAAAGAAAGGGAGGCTGTTCTTTTTAATATCTCCTTTTAATGTTGTTACCATTTCATCTACTCTGAGTCCTCTGAAATCATTTTACTGGTATACAGTGTATCAACAAAAATTGCAGGACTTTTTGAACAATTAACCTATCAGTATTACACACTTACGCACTGTATGCAATTGTGACTTTTCAAGATTTCTGCTGCAATAAGGCATGGGTTTGTTGTTGATGACGTGGTAACAGCTACATTCCAGGAGGTTTGGAGGCTTCATCTGAAATGGAGAAAGATCAAAACATCAGTAAGACATCATCAAAGCTCACAAGAAGCATTTAGCTTTATACTCATACTCAAGTGTCCATAATTCAATTCCTACTATGTTGTTCAAAGTTCTGGTAGTAGAAAGTGAACATCAGAATTATGTATGGCTGAAAGCCAGAGAAAAATAAGACCTCATACCTTTATATACATATTCCAGAGCTGTACTGATTATTCTCATGTCACTCTCTATACTGCGGGCCCAGTTCTCCACATCTCCTATTTCCTGTCGGAACAAAGTAAAAGTAGTTCAACATACATGGTACAGTTATGGGTCCTATGCCTTCCATCAAACACAAATCCTTACAACAGGCCACAAGTGTGAGAATGCATCATTTGAGCAGGGACATGTTGGGCACTTACTGTAGGCTACAACCTTTACCAACAAGACTGGGCTTCACCCAAATTCCTTTCAATTACAATTGAACTTAAATACCGGTAGTTCTACCATTGTACAATTGTATCTCACTATACCCTCACCAGCATGTCTTAGTCTGTCACCTGGGAACACCTATATGTACAAATGGTTAATGCACCTTGAGTGCTTGGTTAAAACCCTCGACCACAGCCAGCCACTGTAGAGTCTTCTTGGCATATGTAGCAGCTTGTGTCTGCAGTTGTTTAGCTTCTGCATCCAACTTCTTCTGGTTCACATATGCCTGGGAAACCCTGGAACAGATAGATATATACATGTAGAATACAACATGGTGTATTCCCTATCATTAGTATCAACCTTTGAAAAGGCATGTTGAATGCAATACTAGCAACATCAGCACAGATTTGTTGATTTCCTCACATATCTACTTACCCAGAGTTGAGATTTTCACCCAAGGCTTGTGTTACAGCTGTGGCTGCTGCTATGGTATCCTTTCTTCTTTTCTCTGCAAGGTCAAACAATGCAGCTGTAAGATACATCTCAAGGTCAAACAATGCAGCCATAAGCTATCTGACCTCTTTCACCTGAGCTTTCTGGAGAAGACTAATTAAATTGCAAATGTTACTAATGTGCAAAAAATTCGTAGAATAATCCCAGAATTATGTGATCATCTTTTGCTCACCTAGTATAGAATTGGCATTTAAAAACACCAATGTTATTGTAACAAGCAGGCTTATACTGTAAGTTGATTGATTGATTATAGGGTCCCATAATGAAGGCTGTTATGTCCTGCACTCTCTACTCCTACCAAAAGGTGGCGCTGCTAAACCATAAGCCTGGCAGCAACAGCAATGCTATGGACGATGGTTTACCCTTTCTTTTACTACTGTATTGTACATGTGTATTGATATGGCAACATTTATAAGTTGACACTATCATACGAGCTGACGCTAACACACATCTTGGAAACACAAAGCCAGGTGTAGAAGTGTATAACTGAATAATAAAGAAGTCTTCCGAATAAGTTACACTGAAGTTGTGAACTGACCTTGCAGTTCTCTGTGCTGTTGTTGCCGAGCCTGATGCTCCTTTAACAAAGCAGACAGCATGGTTGGTCACCTGAAATAGCCAGCACCAAATCAGTCAACTTTATGATGATTCAGCCATGTCTAAATGGCTATCATTCAGCACAAGTGTTGTTGAAGTTTATCAAAAGAAAGGGAAGTCTTGGGTTTGAATGCCAGAAATGCTTCCTCATTTTTTTTTTACAATGCAACATGGACAAGCACGTACCACACAAACCAAAGATATTCTTGTATTTAACCTCCTTGCACAAACCAAAGATTCTACAAGGAAGCTTCTTGCACAAACGGAATGACATGTCGGTGCTGATTTTATATAATTATATAAGCAGCTTGTGGAAGACCTAACACCGGTCCCCTACAAAACAACGAAAAACGGACGTAAAGTACGTACGTTACGAATTAAAAATGACGCTATCGGAAGCTTAAGCGACCAAATGTTGTTGACGCATCACCTGTGGAAGCGTGTCGCCTCAGGTTACCAAGAAATACAAGAGTTTCCTCAGGTGTTGTCGTCAAGTTTTCCTGTCACCTCACTTCCGCCATACTGAATCAGCTGGAACACCGTAGGCAAACGTTACAAATGGAAAACATTAAAAACACCACTTTTAGACACAAAAAGCTTGGTATGTACTCAGTAAGTAAGATCTTTAAATGTTACGTATATTTTTGTATCAAATAAAACGTAAATAAATACAATATCTGTCCTATTTATCAAGAGATGATATATGAATATTTATAAACATTTGGTCACCGCCTGAAAGCCACCAAGTCTCGCGAGATTAGGGTCCCGCTAGCGAGAGTCTGACGAGAGTTGGAAATTAGTCCAGTTATTTTTGCCAGCCGGGCCAACATGGGAAGGATGGGGTCCACTTTACCCTCACTTTTCTGCGTGTTTCTGTGGATTTTACCCCTGACGTTAGGCTTCAACTATGAAACGAGGATACCTCTGGTCAAACAGGGCCGTCGAAACTCTTATTTCGGATTTTCCGTGGCGCAGCACCAGATAACTGCGGGCGAGTCGGACCCCCTTCGAGTCACCGAAAATGTGTAAGTACCGCCGTTAGTTTACTTAGGCCCAAGCTATTTTCTAAGTACTTTGGGGGGACGGAATTCCTCTTTCAAACGCGGAATTTCGTTGTTTCTATACACATCAGTTCATTTCCCTCTACTCCAGTCCCATTTTAGTGTTTTGTAACCGGTAAAGTAGTTTGTAAAACAGCCTTAGGTGAAAGTTCTGCTACCAAAAACTCGCTCGGAACTTGTTTTACGCAAGCAGCAAAGCGGAACGAGATTCGAGATATGGTCCATCTTCGGACTAAATCTTTCGATCGGACCAAGGACAGCGTATTATTTTTATTTCCTTGCGAAATCATCTTTTTTTTTAAAACAGGACCTTTGCATTTTTCCCATTGAGTGGGTATTGTCATGGAGATTGTAAAGTTGCAGGGGGTTGGGGAAATTTTCCCTACGGTCCCCTCAGAGCTCCATCATGGTGTGATCGGGCTGAAAGGCCTAATCACGGAGAATTGCGACATAGTCCTCCGCCACGACTCTGACGTCACTTCCGTCCGCTCGGAGGAGAGAACGCAAGCAAAGCGCGGCAAGGTCAAACTCCTTCCCCTTTTTTCGCCTCTTCTCTCACCCGGCTTCGCGACAATCCGTCCTAGCCCTGCGGCGGCTTAGTGGGACATTCAGGACAGCATGTACGCCGCTGGAAGAAGGACTGTGCGCCCGCCGGTGCGGTTTCAGGATTATGCTACAGAGCGCATAGCACAGCACTTGGCGCCCATTCAGAGCACGCCGACAGACGTCACAGAACGAAAAGACAACGTCCTTCCTACGGCGGAGAGGAGGCCCACGACGGATAGGAAGACACAACTCTCATGGATGCAGCAGGAGTTGCTAAACGTGACTCACGACTTGGAGCAATTCCAGCTGGAATTGGACCACCTAGAAAACCAACAGCAGGGAGCCACAGGTATTTCGCCCATTAGAGATCACCCCCCCACCGATAGTGGCTCCGTCCGCGCCAGGTCTTCCGCTTCCGGGGTTACGGGTCAGCAAACACAGTTCACAGAGAGAGAGAATGGCGCGAGCAGACCGTCTCTACAAGACATCCGCGCCATGAACCGGCTTGCTGGGCATGCTGAGCTCCATCAAAGAGCCCTTCACTCATGAATACAAACCAGGCTACATATGGGGTGATTTTGTGCCCATTTGTTGGAAAAAAATGAGCAGAAAAATGGGCAGACACCTTCCCCAGCGGGTCCCCATATAAAAGAACAAAGGATACACGATTTCCATCACACACTAAAAGAGTTTTCAAGAAAGTTGGGAGGTTGGGGAGGGGGGCCGAAAATGGCTAATCTAATATTTGGGGTATGCAAGGTCAACTTTGTACGGCTGTTCTC